TCCTGTCAGTCATTTTACATCTACCTCATCCTCTATCCCCATCCTGTCAGTCATTTTACATCTACCTCATCCTCTATCCCCATCCTGTAAGTCATTTTACATCTACCTCAATCCCTACCCCCATCCTGTCAGTCATTTTACATCTACCTCATCCTCTATCCCCATCCTGTCAGTCATTTTACATCTACCTCATCCTCTATCCCCATCCTGTAAGTCATTTTACATCTACCTCAATCCCTACCCCCATCCTGTCAGTCATTTTACATCTACCTCAATCCCTACCCCCATCCTGTCAGTCATTTTACATCTACCTCAATCCCTACCCCCATCCTGTCAGTCATTTTACATCTACCTCAATCCTCTATCCCCATCCTGTAAGTCATTTTACATCTACCTCATCCTCTATCCCCATCCTGTCAGTCATTTTACATCTACCTCAATCCCTACCCCCATCCTGTAAGTCATTTTACATCTACCTCATCCTCTATCCCCATCCTGTCAGTCATTTTACATCTACCTCAATCCCTACCCCCATCCTGTAAGTCATTTTACATCTACCTCATCCTCTATCCCCATCCTGTAAGTCATTTTACATCTACCTCATCCTCTATCCCCATCCTGTCAGTCATTTTACATCTACCTCATCCTCTATCCCCATCCTGTAAGTCATTTTACATCTACCTCAATCCTCTATCCCCATCCTGTAAGTCATTTTACATCTACCTCATCCTCTATCCCCATCCTGTCAGTCATTTTACATCTACCTCATCCTCTATCCCCATCCTGTAAGTCATTTTACATCTACCTCATCCTCTATCCCCATCCTGTCAGTCATTTTACATCTACCTCATCCTCTATCCCCATCCTGTAAGTCATTTTACATCTACCTCATCCTCTATCCCCATCCTGTAAGTCATTTTACATCTACCTCATCCTCTATCCCCATCCTGTCAGTCATTTTACATCTACCTCATCCTCTATCCCCATCCTGTCAGTCATTTTACATCTACCTCATCCTCTATCCCCATCCTGTCAGTCATTTTACATCTACCTCATCCTCTATCCCCATCCTGTAAGTCATTTTACATCTACCTCATCCTCTATCCCCATCCTGTCAGTCATTTTACATCTACCTCAATCCTTACCCCCATCCTGTCAGTCATTTTACATCTACCTCATCCTCTATCCCCATCCTGTAAGTCATTTTACATCTACCTCAATTCCTACCCCCATCCTGTAAGTCATTTTACATCTACCTCAATCCCTACCCCCATCCTGTAAGTCATTTTACATCTACCTCAATCCCTACCCCCATCCTGTAAGTCATTTTACATCTACCTCAATCCCTACCCCCATCCTGTAAGTCATTTTACATCTACCTCAATCCCTACCCCCATCCTGTAAGTCATTTTACATCTACCTCAATCCCTACCCCCATCCTGTAAGTCATTTTACATCTACCTCAATCCTTACCCCCATCCTGTCAGTCATTTTACATCTACCTCATCCCCTATCCCCATCCTGTCAGTCATTTTACATCTACCTCATCCCCTATCCCCATCCTGTAAGTCATTTTACATCTACCTCATCCTCTATCCCAATCCTGTAAGTCATTTTACATCTACCTCAATCCCTACCCCCATCCTGTAAGTCATTTTACATCTACCTCAATTCTTACCCCCATCCTGTCAGTCATTTTACATCTACCTCATCCCATCCTGTCAGTCATTTTACATCTACCTCATCCCCTATCCCCATCCTGTAAGTCATTTTACATCTACCTCATCCTCTATCCCCATCCTGTCAGTCATTTTACATCTACCTCATCCCCTATCCCCATCCTGTCAGTCATTTTACATCTACCTCAATCCCTACTCCCATCCTGTCAGTCATTTTACATCTACCTCATCCTCTATCCCCATCCTGTCAGTCATTTTACATCTACCTCATCCTCTATCCCCATCCTGTCAGTCATTTTACATCTACCTCATCCTCTATCCCCATCCTGTCAGTCATTTTACATCTACCTCATCCCCTATCCCCATCCTGTCAGTCATTTTACATCTACCTCATCCTCTATCCCCATCCTGTAAGTCATTTTACATCTACCTCAACCCCTACCCCCATCCTGTAAGTCATTTTACATCTACCTTAACATCTAACGCCATACTTCTACCTGCCCATGGCCTCACTTTATATCTACACAAGCAAAGAAAAGTATGTATCCTAAATTTTCAACCAATCAGAAATCAACATTCCAACAAATTCTGTATCAGTGTTGGCAAATACAGTTTTTGTTATCAGTATATTCACTTAATGTGCAAAAACCAAGAGATGCTTGGTAGATTTTTTCAGTATTTTAAAACTTGCAAGTTTATGATATACATGGAAATAGAGTTTTTCACCTACTAGAAATTTGAAAATTTATCAGATGCTTGGGGATTTTTTCTACTCATCAGATTTTGGCCAGTTTACCTGATGCTTGGGGGTTTTGTTTTCAGTTCATTAGATACTTGCTAATTTACCCGATACTTAGGATTCTCTTTTTAATTTTTCAAATTTTCCAGTATTTCTGAAGCTTGAGAGGTTTTTTTTCTGTAGTTGAAGATTCGCTAATTTTCCTGATACTAAAGAGTCCATCACTGACCTACCTTATTATTAAAGTGCTGCAGTTGGCTATTGTTTCTAGCTTGCCAGACCCCTATTTGTCAGTGTTCAGCACCACAAACCACCTACATACACTGTAACAATTAAAAATTCTTGCCAACCAGAACGAGAGTGCTTTGTGAAACAACAGATCCATTATCTATTACTGTTACAGCTAAACTTGCACTCTTCAGTCATCTGTGCTATTTTCTAAAGCATTCATTTCTTCAAAGGCTTGAACAAAAAGGAAGTGAAGTGTATTTCCTCATAGCCTCTTGTCATTATTAAACATTTGTGTCTGAGTTTTATCCAAGACCCCAGCATGCCATATGTTTTTCTACTGCCAAGCTTAACAAGGACAGATGATGTTATAAAAAGTTAAAAGATTTTTGAAAATCTCAGCAGTGTGAATCAGAGTTTTAAAACAGTTATCTCTTCAACTGTCAAAGAGATACGTATCAGTCTCGTCTGAAATCAATATGAAGGTCATTAAGTACAATTTGGAGACATACAGTGAGATAAAACTATAACCCTGTTCTATAATACTGGCCTATAACCAAGAAAAAAAGACCATTAAAAAAACACAACTACCCAGACTTAAAAAAGTATTCAAACCTAGATGTAACAATCAACTTATGTTGGCAAATTTCTAACACAAATGTAGTATCACTGCGTCCAATATGGAGTCCGGAATAAAAAAGATCGAAATATTGAATTCTCATTTATCCTGAAGACAGTCTAAGGGGACCAATATGTTCCTTCTAATTTAAGTCAGGGGGTGGGCTTATTACAGGAAAATCAAATAAAGTTTACCAAATATGAATATATATATGGATAAGCTTATTACCAGACATGGACTTGTTGACAAAAACATACACCATCCTATTATATAAACCTTCATTTTAAAAGACCTTCATTTCCAAGAAAATAGTTTACTTGCTGTATATATCCATTAATAAGCCCATGCCTGTTGATAAGCCCACCCATATATTTTTCAGCATCAGGGAACTAGTAACAAATGCTTTTTCATTACCCTGTACGAAGTCCACCATCATCCTTTGAGTCTGGGGTGATGAGTTTGTCCTCTGGACTTTTTGCCAGACAAATTGATGAAAGTAGAAGGTTCCTTGGAATAATTAAGACTAGGCTCATTAAATTGACAATAATTTAGTTTCCCTTGGAAACAATCTGTTTGCAGATAGCAACATATACATAAGCAAAGTGTTATTAGTAAAGACTTCTGATAGATCTAAGTTCAATTAATGAAATTTGTTTGCTTTTATTTATTTATCTATTTAATCATTTATCTTTTTATTTATTTATTTATCTTTTTTATTTATTTATCTTTTTTTTATTTTTTTATTTATCTTTTTTTTTTTTAATTTATTTATCTTCTTTTATCTTTTTTTTATTTATTCATCTATTTTTTTATTTATCTCCATATTTACTGTTTATTTTCCCAACTTTTTTAAAACAGATAAAAGTAATCAACCGTTTACTTTATTTAAGTGTGACTTGTTCATGTTTAAGTGGTATACCTAGGTGATGATATTTACCCACCATATAAATCCTGTAATAAGCCCAGGTATATTTCCGCTCAGAAGAATTCCAACTCAGCCCCAGGAGATAAGCAATAGTCTTATCTTCATCTATAAAGGGCCAGGGGTAAGTAGAATAACAGACAAGGGCTACTGTCCTGTAATAAGCCCATCCCCTGACTTAGGATCAGAAATACAAAATTTCATCCTTGGATTTATTACATCAGAATCAGGATGATACTATCTACAAGGAAGGACACTTTAAAGGGACTCAGTGTATATGTCTTTACACCTTTACTGGAACATATATACAGTTATATATATATACATTTCCCAACCATGTGTGTCCAAGTTTACTTATATATATATATATATATATATAGCCATCTCAATATGCTTAAGAATATTGCAGCGAAAATTGATAACTACTGTTAAATTGATCCCATTCTTGAAGGTTTTAATTTTGCAGTCAATAAAGATCATGCGAAATTATATACCCAATAAACATTTCTACAGTACATGAAAATCTCAGAAAAAAAATCTGTTATGCCTGTATGCTTGTACAACAGTGTGTAAAAATGCATGAGATTTGATACCCTTAAAACTTGCCTTACCCAAGACAACCACAAACTGCTGGCCATGCAATTTTAAACAACTACTCAATTTTGCCTAACAATCTTTGAAAATAATAGAAAAAAATTTGAAGACGACCTTTGAAAATTTTCAGAGAAAAAATATTCCAGCAATGACCCAAGAAATGTTTCCATAATCATATAATACTTTGTTTTATTTTCCGCAGATCCCAGCCTGGGTAACATGAGTGATCAGTATGACTATGAAGGGTTTGAATCGCCGGCATCCACTGGGCCCGAGTACAAGATCCGTCAAGTTGTATTCCGTTATGTGTTTGCCATCTTTCTAATCCTGGGCACGGTTGGGTCGTTTCCCTGTATTGTATTGCTGAACCGCTACAGTCACACGGTGTGGTCAACATGCGTATACCTCTCACTTCTCCTTGGAATCGACCTGGTCAAGCTGTATGTCCATTGCGGAAATCACTGGTTCGATGCCGTAGCTGATGAAAATCTTAGCTGGAACATACTCGTCATCTCAAATTCTATCTGCAAAGTTTATACTTTTCTTTTGAGTTTCTTCAACCACATGTCCTCGTGGATTGTTGTTGCTGCCACAGTCGAGTTACTCATCGCCATACGGTTCCCGCGACACATGTACACGATGTGTACGCGGGAGCGATCTCAAGCCGTCATTCTGTTTATCATTGTCTTACTAATCTGCCTCAATCTTCACTTCTTCTGGACGGTAGGGCTAAGTCTGCCTGGTCAGTCTCCAGAAATTATCACACCCTACTGTCATAACAACTACGAATTGTCGGAAGAATTTCGAATAATCATCTGGCCTCTTGTTGAATTCTTTGTCCAAAATGCAATTCCGATGATTTCAGTATTTTCATGCCTGTGTGTCTGCTTCTGGCATGTCGTCCAAAACATCGGAAAGAAACGCCATAAAAAGGAAGTAGAATCGTTACTAGGCAAGTACTTCCTGGATTTAAAGACCCTCCATGAAATGAAAAAAGCGACAGCATTTTTGTCAATATATTTCCTGATGAACTCATCATGTACCGTTATTCAAGCAGTCTTCATCAAATTTCTGAGTGTGGATTTAAATTTTGCTCTTTTTGACATCATTTTGCGGACAATGGATTACGCCTACTTGAGTTTAAAACCGTACATTTTCATTGTGTTTTGTCGGAAGCTACGACAGGATATGCTGAGTACGTTTAAGTACTGTCAGTCAAACAAACATTATCAAGTCTCCGCAAGGAAACGCAGTTCTTCTATTGAGGTCAATCGCTCCACAAATTCAATCAACAATGCCGCTGGTGCACGTCCGAAAATCTACACAGCTACTGGCATCGGTACTTCCACTGGAGTCTGAAACCCATCGCCTCCGAAAAGATGTAGAAACAAACTAATAAAGATATCACGAACACAAGAGAAGGCTCTCTATAAAATGTGTAAATATGGCACAACAAATCGGTTTTAAAATCTGGAGAAATGTGATCGCTTAACATGCCTAAAATAGAACGGCAGATTACAGAATTACGGAATATATCAGTACGTATGATATCAAACTTGCCAGAATCCTATTGATTAAATATAGCTGTGGATTACCGATATGGAAGATATCAAACCGTGTGGGAAAGATTTCAATTAAATATAGATGTGGATTACAGGTACGGAAGATTTCAAACAGTGTGGGAAAGATTTCAATTAAATATAGATGTGGATTACTGGTATGGATGTCACCGAACAGTGTGGAAATATGTAGTCCATAAATTCAGAAACGAATTCTCAAACATGAATATCAATTCGTGCAGGAAAATATCTAATGAATTAAAACATGGATGTTGTAGATATCAGTGCTCGGAAGTACAACTAATATACTGATTACCAAATACGGACGTCACATAAAGTTGAGTAGAATTTCTAAATGTGTATAAAGATATATCACAGCACAGTGACATGTAAAATTGACAGGTGTGCAAAAGTGTTGATGTGTATGGACAATGACAATGATATGTATGTTTAGATATTGACAGGTGTATAGGTATATTGACAGGTATGTAGATATATTGACAGGTGTGTAGGGATATTGACAGGTATGTAGGCATATTGACAAGTGTGTAGGTATATTGACAGGTGTGTAGGTATATTGACAGGTATGTAGGGATATTGACAGGTATGTAGGGATATTGACAGGTATGTAGGCATATTGACAGGTGTGTAGGGATATTGACAGGTATGTAGATATATTGACAGGTATGTAGGGATATTGACAGGTATACAGGTATATTGACAGGTATGTAGGTATATTGACAGGTATGTAGGGATATTGACAAGAATGTAGGGATATTGACAGGTGTATAGGTATATTGACAGGTGTATAGGTATATTGACAGGTATGTAGGGATATTGACAGGTATGTAGGGATATTGACAGGTGTATAGGTATATTGACAGGTGTATAGGTATATTGACATGTATGTAGATATATTGACAGGTATGTAGGTATATTGACAGGTATGTAGGGATATTGACAGGTATGTAGGTATATTGACAGGTGTATAGGTATATTGACAGGTATGTAGATATATTGACAGGTATGTATATTGACAGGTATGTAGGGATATTGACAGGTATGTAGGTATATTGACAGGTATGTAGGGATATTGACAGGTGTCTAAGGATATTGACAGGTGTGTAGGAATATTGACAGGTGTGTAAGGATATTAAAAGGTACGTTAGAATACTGACAGGTGTGTAGCGATATTGACAGGTGTGTAGGGATATTGACAGGTGTGTAGGTATATTGACAGGTGTGTAGGGATATTTACAGGTGCGTAGGTATATTGACAGGTGTTTAGAGATATTTACAGTTGTGTAGGAATATTGACAGGTGTTTGAGAATAATGACAGGTGTTTAGAGATATTGACAGGTATGTAGGGATATTGACAGGTGTGTAAGGATACTGACAGGTGTGTAGGAATATTGACAGGTGTGTAAGGATATTAAAAGGTACGTTAGAATACTGACAGGTGTGTAGGGATATTGACAGGTGTGTAGGGATATTGACAGGTGTGTAGGTATATTGACAGGTGTGTAGGGATATTTACAGGTGTGTAGGTATATTGACAGGTGTTTAGAGATATTTACAGGTGTGTAGGAATATTGACAGGTGTTTAGATAAATGGATCCATACTTAGGACTAACAGCTCCTTTTTGGAACCTGACGTCTTTTGTTTTTAATACAATGCAGTGTAGAATGAAAATCCCCTGACAAACCAAAAATTCATTAAACGGCCTTTTCTGCATTACTGGTTTTTGTAACCGTCCTTATGCTCACATACTATATTATATAAGAAGCCAGGAATCCAATAAATCTGAAGCTACGTTAAAAACTTTGTACAAGTAATCTGATACAAACTAGCAGGCAGCCGAGGAAACATTTAATATCAGTCATAAATCAGAAACATTTACGCAGTCCCTAATCGAAATAAAAATAATTACGACTACAATCATTTCCAGAAATCCGAATTTGTATTTAAGCATGCAAGACATTTTGTACATAGTAATGATAATATGGAATTAAACATTTTGTTTATAAGTGGATAAAGATGTAAATACACTGAGCTTGTTAAAATGTAATGGATGGTGAATTTGGTAACCATGGCAACAGTAACAAAACTGTATGAAATATGACAATATTTGATGGTAACCATGGCAATGGAATAATATCATTCTGAACAAGAAATTTTGTTGTGTTCTTTAAATGTCTCATGGCAATATACACATACCGTATTTGACTATAAAAAGAGCATCTGCCCATTTAAACATACTGTAACCTTTTACTTATGGAAAAAGAATGGATGCCCTTAATCAAAGCTGAAGGCATGTTGCTGAACTCTCTGACCTCTACAATAAAATATTCAGCCTTTGAACTCTTCAACTTATATTCACTATATCTGCTGAAAGTCTTGCGTCTGTAGAAATTTTGCATTTCTATCAACAGGGTAAAGTTAAAGGTAGCTAAAACTGGACGTTGAATCCAAAACTTTTTCTTTTTTTTTCCCTTTTGTTTTGTCATTCAAGACGAATTTGAATTTGACGCTGGCTGAAAATTTACAGTGTTATTCGAAAGTGAAATAATCCTTGAGAGAGTGGGTTATCTTATTCAGTATACCAAGCCAACATGTAAGATGGCTAAAATTTACTCTTTTCATTTAAAATTAGAATTATGTTTTCTTCTACCTATGTTTCATGTGTCAACATGACTCATGTGGAAATTTTTCTCTATGTATAGTTGTATAAAACACAATCCTCTCGTTTTTTTTTTTTTTTTTTTGTGTAATTCAATAAGCATGTGGTTATAATGTTGATTATGTTTTCTCAAATATACACACAGAGTTTTTGTCTTTCTAAACCACAATCATCCAAACTCTACTTTGTTTTAATATAATCAAAAGCAATATTATCATAAACTGGCAAAATATTGATAATAAAGTTTTTAGATAGTAGACAAGAAAATGGAAATGGTGAGAATGTGTTTTCAGACACTCAGGTCTTTGTGTGTGCTTCTACACCTAGACCTGAAGCAATAAAAGTCAAGAAACCAGACAGACCTTTTCAATGTTGTAAGGATTTTGATAAGTAGGCCTTTTTTCCCCAAAAGATCTGTCATAAATCATTCAGTATTACGCCATATGCAAATCATCCTTGCCATAATATCGTCATGTTGACAGAGAAATCGTCATTAAACTCTGTGACTCCAATCACATGACCCTGGTCATATGACAACAATCACATGACAATGATCACATGACCCCAATCCCTGACTACAATGTCATGACCTCTATTGTACTGAAACAGATTCATTTTCAACCAAAATGGCACAAAATGTTAAAATCAAATTTCTTTGGAACCTAATGAAATAAGCAAACCAATAGAATGATCAAACCAGACAAAAATAAGTCCATGCCTTGTAATAAGTCTATCAATATTGTTAATGTTTGGTAGAATCACCAACAAATGTTCATGTATTGTCTTGCCCATGTCTGATAATAAGCCCATCCCTTGACTTTGAGCTAAGTTTGAACAATAAGCTTATGTCATTATTGTAAATACAATAAGCAAAGATGTAACATAGTTTACTGGTGGTTGTTCCTAACAAGTACTGAGAGTTTGTCCTAATATATTTATCTCATGGGAACCATATGTAAGACAGGTGACTATGTATTTCAATGCTTCCACCAGGATTCAACCACTGACCCGTGGCTTAATAGAAGATTTCCCTAGCCAAGCAATATATTTTGCTACTATTTTACCAGGATTACATACTCCCCTTCCAGGAAACTACTCCTCATGTTTCCAGGGGTTACAGCGATGCTCATGGGGCATGGCTAAGTATCATTTCTGGGCGCCAATATAACAGTGACCATATTGTATTACAATGACTTCACTAAGATTCAATCTCACACACCCTGACGTACACTCAGTCTAACACTCAACTAATCGAGCCAAACATAAATTCTCTTATCCTGGCGTTAAACAGCGGCTTGTATTTTATCCGACTTACATGTATGAAAATGTTTCCTTTTTTCTATCCTGGTAAGATTTTGCCAAGTTTAATCTGCCAGACAACCCTCTGTATCTATGATTTCCAACCATCTACAATATACTAGAACTAGATCTCCAAAAATTTCAAATATTTGACCTCGGTATCATAACACAATCTTCAACAAACTTTTGCTCTGCCAATTACAAATATGACCTCTTTTTTTCATGTTACTACCCATAATCAGCTTTCAAAACATATGACAAATACAGTTTTTCCTCCAGGATTTTAAATCTCCTTTATGGATCTAACTTGGTTAAGATTATTAGGAAATGAGTTTTGTACCCTATGTTTGATGTGAACACCATATTTATAACTGCTGTAGCACTTATTGTTTCTGAAAAACTCAAATATATGGAAATATATATAAATGGAAGTTAAAAAAAACTCAAGGCAACTAGGATATTTTTGAATAGGTTCATAGCCTAAAACTGCCTTATTCTCAAAAATTCACCAATGATTTATGATGATTTTCACCCAAAAACTGGGGTGGTGAAAATCTGAGCTAAATGTACACTAAATTTTGATTGCTATATAATACATGGGATTGTCTGAAAAATGGGGATGACATATTCGACACAATAAGTGCCCATGTCCCTATAAATGCCCCTCCCCCTATTTTTTCCGATACCTATTTTGCTAAATTCAACTTTCGCAGTCAATACCAGAATTAACTTTTAGGGTGGTCCTTCATGCATTGCACATATCATGGCTATAATGCAAGCTTCAGTAAAAGGATTATTTATATCTGTGTGGTGCTTGTAATATTCGTATGTTGACGTTTATTTGCTGTAGTCTATCATCTGCCACAAGTTAAAAAGTTTTTATTGAATACCTGCTAGGAAATATAATTTTATTGTACAGTAGCATGACAGGAATTACAACTGTTCTTTGTTCACCCTGTCACATGTGTTATTGATCAATCATTCGTAACTTCGTTTTTTCATTGCGTGCACGAGTTTTACATATTCCTGTGTTATTTTGGTTTAATACTGTTTATCTCGAGATCAATGCCTCAGAAATCAAAAGTAGAATCCAACTCGGCCATTTATACTGGTAATTTTACACCAATTTGATCCCAAAAAGCACCTACCTCTTTCCTAAATTATTTTTGCGCCCTGGGTGCTAAATGGGTCAAATACGGTTTATAAAATGTGCATGTATATTCATTCCAGCAGGAAAGTTCAATCTTAGCTCTTCTTTGATATGTTGAGAGCTCCCATTTATTTACTGTGAGACTTAATCCTGTAAGCTTCTGAGTGTAAAAACAGGAAGACCATGTAGTCTGATATTATATAAGACAAGCAATAAATATCCTTACTTAACCACTTTGCCAGATCCAACCATTCTGTTGAAAAACCAGTTTCTCTACAAAATCTACACTGACACCCCTGTTTTTTTATATGAGGTGTTCCTTACCTTTGTCCTGGTTCTGTCTACTCTGAATTCAGGGTAACAAGGTTCCATCAATAACCAGATGATACACAGTGCCTACATAATTTTTTACTCCATAACTCGAAGTATAATCTCTTTGATGTTGGTATTAATATAGTTTTAATCGTGTTTTATCAACTGGTAATGTCATCGTAATAATATTAAAACTTTTGAAAACACTACCGGTGTTGTATTTCTTTTACACAAGTATACAAATTTTCAGAAATAAAACAGTCATTGATTTGAAAACTAGCAGAAAAGCAACTTCAATATCCACCATTCCACACCCTCCTGGTAATACTCAACAACACTATACCCCTAATATCCACCATTACACACCCTCCTGGTAATACTCAACAACACTATACCCCTAATATCCACCATTACACACCCTCCTGGTAATACTCAACAACACTATACCCCTAATATCCACCATTACACACCCTCTTGGTAATACTCAACAACACTATACCCCTAATATCCACCATTACACACCCTCCTGGTAATACTCAACAACACTATACCCCTAATATCCACCATTCCACACCCTCCTGGTAATACTCAACAACACTATACCCCTAATATCCACCATTACACACCCTCCTGGTAATACTAAACAACACTATACCCCTAATATCCACCATTCCACACCCTCCTGGTAATACTCAACAACACTATACCCCTAATATCCACCATTACACACCCTCCTGGTAATACTCAACAACACTATACCCCTAATATCCACCATTACACACCCTCTTGGTAATACCAACACTATACCCCTAATATCCACCATTCCACACCCTCCTGGTAATACTAAAAATACACTAATATCCACCATTACACACCCTCCTGGTAATACTCAACAACACTATACCCCTAATATCCACCATTACACACCCTCCTGGTAATACTCAACAACACTATACCCCTAATATCCACCATTACACACCCTCCTGGTAATACTCAACAACACTATACCCCTAATATCCACCATTCCACACCCTCCTGGTAATACTCAACAACACTATACCCCTAATATCCACCATTACACACCCTCCTGGTAATACTCAACAACACTATACCCCTAATATCCACCATTCCACACCCTCCTGGTAATACTCAACAACACTATACCCCTAATATCCACCATTACACACCCTCCTGGTAATACTCAACAACACTATACCCCTAATATCCACCATTACACACCCTCCTGGTAATACTCAACAACACTATACCCCTAATATCCACCATTACACACCCTCCTGGTAATACTCAACAACACTATACCCCTAATATCCACCATTCCACACCCTCCTGGTAATACTCAACAACACTATACCCCTAATATCCACCATTCCACACCCTCCTGGTAATACTCAACAACACTATACCCCTAATATCCACCATTACACACCCTCCTGGTAATATATCAACACTATATCCCTAATATCCAATTACACACCCCCTGTACCTCAGAATGTTACTGCATCAATGGTTTATATCTGGAAACAGTCTTAGCTACAGAAAAACCTCCCTGTACCTCAGAATGTCTCTGTATCAAGGGTTTATATCTGGAAACAGTCTTAGCTACAGAAAAACCTCCCTGTACCTCAGAATGTCTCTGTATCAAGGGTTTATATCTGGAAACAGTCTTAGCTACAGAAAAACCTCCCTGTACCTCAGAATGTTACTGTATCAATGGTTTATATCTGGAAACAGTCTTAGCTACAGAAAAACCTCCCATACCTCAGAATGTCTCTGTATCAAGGGTTTATATCTGGAAACAGTCTTAGCTACAGAAAAACCTCCCTGTACCTCAGAATGTCTCTGTATCAATGGTTTATATCTGGAAACAGTCTTACACACCTCCCTGTACCTCAGAATGTTACTGTATCAATGGTTTATATCTGGAATACAGTCATTACACACAAAAAACCTCCCAATATCTCACCATGTCACACCCTCAAGGTTTATATCTGGAAACAGTCTTAGCTACAGAACAACCTCCCTGTACCTCAGAATGTCTCTGTATCAAGGGTTTACACCCTCCTGGTAATACTCTTAGCAACACTAAAACCTTCCTGTATCTCACCATGTACACACCCTCCTGGTAATATCTGGAACACAATACCCCTAATATCCACCATTACACACCCTCCTGGTAATACTCAACAACACTATACCCTGTTTCAATATCCTTATATTCCATAACAGTCTTAGCTACAGAAAAACCTCCCTGTATCCTCAGAATGTCTCTGTATCAAGGGTTTATATCTGGCAAACATTATTAAATACAGAAAAACCTTTGCTGACAGTAAATGTCACACAAGTAAAGGAATGAAACAAAAAGATTTGTACAGGGAGACAATAAATCATTGACAATGTCTTACTGTTTTTCTTAGTCCAACAAATTCTATATTTCTAAAGTACAAACCTTTCACAACATTTTACACAAAGGTACAAACTTGTCATCCTTACCATTAAAACCATTAAAAAAATGTTTCCCTTGACAATCTAGATCTAAAAATAGCAGCTAAACAGGCAAACATCATAAAGGTTAACATTTCGAAACAGCTACAGAAAAACCTCCCTGTACCTCAGAATGTCTCTGTATCAAGGGTTTATATCTGGAAACAGTCTTAGCTACAGAAAAACCTCCCTGTACCTCAGAATGTTACTGTATCAATGGTTTATATCTGGAAACAGTCTTAGCTACAGAAAAACCTCCCATACCTCAGAATGTCTCTGTATCAAGGGTTTATATCTGGAAACAGTCTTAGCTACAGAAAAACCTCCCTGTACCTCAGAATGTTACTGTATCAATGGTTTATATCTGGAAACAGTCTTAGCTACAGAAAAACCTCCCTGTAAACAACTTTGTTAATTATCAATTATCTTTATGCCTTACATTTAGTAATAGGTTTTAATCTTCTTTGCTTATTTTCCATGTTTAAGTTTTAATTTTCATGGTAAATAAACAAGAAAATCATCAATTATTGTGAGGCTAAAAATTTTGTGGTTTTCCAAAAATATACATTTACATTGGCTCATGATTTTGTGGGTTAATATTGATCACAAAATCCCCAAGTAGTATGATCCATTCGGCATAAACCTGTTTATTGGACATATAAACTTGTGAGTTCAAAGTACCCATTATTCACCAAACATTAATGATTTTACAGTATAACAAAACCAACCGCCTCAAACTATCTGCCAATGGATTCCCACTAAACTGGACATTTTAATGACTTACTTGGTCCAATGTGGTATTATGTGGAGACAGCCTATACAATAGAAACTAACAATAGATAAATGGTTTTTCACATCATTCACAAAGGACTTAAAAGCCAGTAAAACGTTGGTATGGTTATTATGACTAGATGACGTCATACCATTCTTCTCTTTCAAAAACTATCTTTTTTTAACCTTTAAACTGCTCTAATATCTTTACAAGTCCTGAAGAAATTACTTAGTTCGTCATCAGGACCCAGACTCAACTTTTCAGATAATACGAAAATTAAAGAAAATCTTAAAGAAACAAAATAATTCAAGTGAATCCTCCTGGAAAAGAATTGAAGCGTTTGTCCTATCGTGATTTCACCTTAAACAAAGTGTTGTATAATCCCTGGTATGGTTTCAAATTCATATCTGTAACTAAAGGTGTTTACTGTATCGGTCCAAACACTGACCTTTATGTCTTAAAACAACAAGACAACATTTATTCCGTGAATTATAATCAATTCCTGATTTCGCCAAATTTTTAAATAAAACTTGAAAATCCAGACTTTATCTAATCAAACATGACATCTTATATGAATTTTGGATTTATATTATTTGTTTTTTTTTTGTGACCTGTCACTAGGACCGATACAGTAAACGATGTGAAAAAAAAGCAGTACTCACATTCATCTCTAAAGCGGGGCTCGGCATTTGGTCCAACACGAGCTAGTGTTCGGATAAGCTCAGTCTGAATGTTATGTTCGTCTTTATAGGCAGGGTCATCCATGAAGGTCAGAAACTGCATGTACACACGATCTAACATCTGTAATAGACACAAAAGTAAGTTTAAACAAGGCAAAAACATTTTCTTCAAACTATGTTCTCTTATTCATCAAACCAAGTTATATGTTTGTCAAAAAGAGTCGCATGTTCATCACACCAAGTCACATGTCCAGTAAAAAAAAAGTAACATGTTCATCAAACCAAGTCACATGTTCAGTAAAATGAGTCACATGTCCATCATACCAAGTCACACGTTCAGTAAAATGAGTCACATGTTCATCATACCAAGTCACATGTTTAGTGAAAAGAGTAAACATGTTCATCATACCAAGTCACATGTTTAGTGAAAAGAGTAACATGTTCATCATACCAAGTCACATGTTTAGTGAAAAGAGTAACATGTTCATCATACCAAGTCACATGTTTAGTGAAAAAAGTAACATGTTCATCATACCAAGTCACATGTTTAGTGAAAAAAGTAACATGTTCATCATACCAAGTCACATGTTTAGTGAAAAGAGTAACATGTTCATCATACCAAGTCACATGTTTAGTGAAAAGAGTAACATGTTCATCACACCAAGTCACATGTTTAGTGAAAAGAGTAACATGTTCATCACACCAAGTCACATGTTTAGTGAAAAGAGTAACATGTTCATCATACCAAGTCACATGTTTAGTGAAAAGAGTAACATGTTCATCACACCAAGTCACATGTTTAGTGAAAAGAGTAACATGTTCATCACACCAAGTCACATGTTTAGTGAAAAAAGTAACATGTTCATCATACCAAGTCACATGTTTAGTGAAAAAAGTAACATGTTCATCATACCAAGTCACATGTTTAGTGAAAAGAGTAACATGTTCATCATACCAAGTCACATGTTTAGTGAAAAGAGTAACATGTTCATCACACCAAGTCACATGTTTAGTGAAAAGAGTAACATGTTCATCACACCAAGTCACATGTTTAGTGAAAAGAGTAACATGTTCATCATACCAAGTCACATGTTTAGTGAAAAGAGTAACATGTTCATCACACCAAGTCACATGTTTAGTGAAAAGAGTAACATGTTCATCACACCAAGTCACATGTTTAGTGAAAAGAGTAACATGTTCATCACACCAAGTCACCAAGTCACATGTTTAGTGAAAAGAGTAACATGTTCATCATACCAAGTCACATGTTTAGTGAAAAGAGTAACATGTTCATCACACCACCATGTTTAGTCACATGTGTTTAGTGAAAAGAGTAACATGTTCATCATACCAAGTCACATGTTTAGTGAAAAGAGTAACATGTTCATCATACCAAGTCACATGTTTAGTGAAAAAAGTAACATGTTCATCATACCAAGTCACATGTTTAGTGAAAAGAGTAACATGTTCATCATACCAAGTCACATGTTTAGTGAAAAGAGTAACATGTTCATCATACCAAGTCACATGTTTAGTGAAAAGAGTAACATGTTCATCATACCAAGTCACATGTTTAGTGAAAAGAGTAAACATGTTCATCATACCAAGTCACATGTTTAGTGAAAAGAGTAACATGTTCATCAAAGCAAGTCACATGTTTAGTGAAAAGAGTAACATGTTCATCACACCAAGTCACATGTTTAGTGAAAAGAGTAACATGTTCATCACACCAAGTCACATGTTTAGTGAAAAGAGTAACATGTTCATCATATCAAGTCACACATTCAGTAAAATGAGTCACATATTCATCAAACTGAGTCACATGCTAATTTAACAAAGTTACAGGTCTATAAAACAGCTGTAGATCAAACTTATGTGATTTAAAAACAAAATCATATAAGGCAGTGTAAGTTTTATTTACAACAGCCAACAAAACTGTCACAACAGTACAAGATCCATGGAGGCTGTTTTTTTAATAATCAAATTGAAAAGAATTTTGTAAAATTCCATTGAATATCATATGGTGTAAAAATTCAGGATTTTTTTCAAACCAAATTGAAATTACAAAGTAAATTGAAATACATTTATGGTTTTTCTTTTAGAAATAAAAACAAAAAGTAACAAGAGGGCCATGACCCTTAACGGTCATCTGACAATCGTTAGATAGATGGAGAAACTATAGAATTTGCTGATGGTAGTCTGACAAATCTGATGAATTCAAAATTTGAACATTCCTTGAAAGTATCAGAAACTCATAAATGGTAGGTTCTGTTTGTGAAAAACAGTTGCACAATCATGATACAAAATGGCTACTGTTGCTACCATGTTTTGATCAGACTGAAAAATAACAACAGATCATCTCTTTCTTTTCTTTAAAAAACATCAAACTCCAAATATTTTCCTCATTGGTGTGAATGAAACATGAGAAAAGTTCAGACTATTTGTTCTAGGATGAGTTATGTTGGATTTTGAACCAAAGGTTAAAATAAGATTTGGTCAGGACAATCTCAGGATCATTCATGTTTGATACCATTGCCATGCTCTGATAATGTTTCAGGCCAAATTTGGTTGAAATCTATCCAGGCATTAAGAAGGAGGTTTTGAAGCAGAATATTATCTATCTTCCCCTTTTGGAACCCCGCCCCTTTCTGAATTTAAGAAATAATTCTCTGCCCTCAATGATGTTTTGTACCACATTTGGTTTAAATCCATTAAAGTCATAAGGAAGAGTAGCATTCTGAAGCAAAATTACTGAACAATTTTTCCAAGGGGTTAAATCAATTTTCTGAATTTAAGAATTACTTGCCAACCCCTATTGATGTTATGGACAAAATATGAATGAAATAAATCAAAGTTTTAAGAAAGAGAAGCGTTTTGAAGCTAAGTATTGTCTAACTAATATTTTAGGGCCCTATCCCCAGATCCCTTGGGGTTGAATCAAATTTCTGAATTTCATAAATGATCCCCCACACCCAATGACTTTTCAGTTTTTCAGACCAAATTTGGTTGAAATCTGCCAAGGCATTAAACAGGAGGAGTGTTTTAAAGGAAAAGTTTACAGACGGCCAAAAGCCAATAGCGCACAACACCAAATAATGCACGATAGCAATAGGCCATCTTGACTCTTTGGGTCAGATGGCGTAAAAAACAAAACGAAAAACCCATATAGAATATAAAATTATTCAGAGTTTGAGGGAAAAGGCAAATCACCCATCATTACACTAAACTCTTATAAGGACACAAATAAACATAGGAGAAAGAATATAATTTGATTTATTATCTGTTGAAAAATATCTTTTATAACCTGTCATACTAAATACATTAGAAATGTCTCGTCATAATCGTAACTATCACTAAACTATAAAGGCAGCTGTGATAAACAGATCTAAACTATCACACAGAATTACCCTTCCTGTCAAAGGCAATTAAGACTGACTAAAGCGCCCCCTTGTGTAAACTAGAGAAATCATCCGGCCCAATCAGACCAGCTTTATAGAAGGCTGGAATGTTTTGAAAGATAAAGTTACGAAGTCAGATTTCTGTTAGAGCCCAAATTAGGACAAACTCTAACCTATATACCATTCTGAGACATGCAACTAGATTTTGTATGAAAATGTTGGTTTGCAACAGTAAATATGTCATCTGATGCTGATAAAAGATTTAAATATGTTAGCAGACTGTGAAATATGTAGGGTTGGACTCCCCAGATAATACCTACTAAAATTCACACAGACAAATATCATCACAAAGGCACTCAATATGCCACAGTGATAAATGGGCAGTGTGCCTGACACATTCATAGTAGGACAATTTTTAAACCCCGGAAATGGCTGAAAGATTCACAAAAGTACATAAAACACCATGGTAACAAAGTTATGTCAGAGTGAGACTGCAGACTTACCTCCCTTAGATTGATATTTTCTATTATTGCACCTAAAGCTGGAATGGTTGAAGTTCTCACAGAGCTGTAATACAAAGGTTAGAGGCTATAAATCTTCAACAGGTCAGAGGTCATATAATCATACAATCAGAAACAAGTCAGAGGTCAGAATCAAAACATCCAATAAGACATAATCACCAAAACTCTTTTATTTTACATGTAGTCTCAAAGATTTTACAAGAGAAGAAGAAACAAGTGCTATATGTCATTTTAGAAATCTGAAGGTCATTGATATTACATATATATCTGCTCTGAACTTTGACCTTTTAACTCTTAATACTAGACTTACATTTCTGGGTCATTGCCAAGAGTGACCAAGGCAGGAAAGACTCGTGTAGATACTAGGTTCTCACTAACTCCTTTAACAAGCAGCTGAAATGAAAGAAAGAATTCAGTTCAAAGGACAGAAAACAATAGTCAATAAATACCCAATATTGTAAAGTCAATTTTTTTTGAGGGACTCAACTTTGTAGTTTTCAAAAATTCACTATTTCTTGGACACTTAGTTTCATGGATGATTATAGCTCTATAAATCTTTATATAATAATTTTAACAGTCTGTGGACATAAGAATTTGGCGAATGAAATGTATCCATAAAGTTAACCAAATTAAATACCCTTATTCCTTTAAAAATCAGTATTTCCATGGTATTAAAATACAGTGTAAATTGCTTTCCATATTTATCCTGTAACCTTTGAATCAAAGTAGGAGGGTGGGCTTATTAGAAGACATAGGCTTATCAATACATGGTTCACTATGATTGGATAACAATACTAACCTCAAACAAGCGAGCTGCCGTACTCCGCACCTGAGCTGATGTGTGAACTACTCCTTCCCATAACACTGTCAGCAGTAACTCATGGTTACTAGGATTTGCACTGAAATACAAGGTCAGGGTCATAAAACATCAAATGTCAAGCTGGGATTTATGTGTAAAGAGACTCTCACCATGATATAAGGTCAAGGTCATATAACATCAAATGTCAAGGACATGCGAATCACAGCACTGATTAATGGGTGATGAGACCCTCACCATGATACAAGGTCAAGGTCATATAACATCAAATGTCAAGGACATATAATCGTAGCAATGATTTATGCATAATGGAGAATCTAAGCAAGATAAAAGGTCAAGGGTATATCACAGCAAATGTCAAGGACACCATGGAAACCAATTTTACTCCCAAAAGTTTTTAATTGTAGCTAAATTTGCTGCATATATTTTCTACAGCAGTCATAAAAGTGATTATTATTCTTGTTTATTGATTTTCTTTTCAAGGATTTTTTTTTACATGGTTTATTTCATCCTGATAAATTACAACTTTCACTGAAACACCTGACAGATATGTCAAGCTGTAACCTTTACCTTATCTCCATAAAGGCTGCCTTGATGCTGTCGAGGGGAGCCTGGTACACCGACACCATGGTCAGCATCTCCTGTAGGAACTGAGTCAACTGCTGGCGGTCCTCCTCCTGAAGGTCAAGGTCAGAGGAATGATATATAACATTACTTAAATCTTCATTTTTATGTAAAAAAAAAAAACAAAAATCTTCTTCATGTCAGAAAAATATGTTATCTTCTTTAAATGTTAAATGTTTATATGAAGCATGGTCTTCTTTATGAGCCAGAGAAGCATTGATTTAATGTTATGAATTTTTCATTCTCAGATTTATCTAAAACACTGACAGGTCAAGAGATATCCCTTTGTGCACCTAAATCTAGATATTCACCAGTTCTATTTTTAGAAACAGCTACATGACCTTGACGTTACGAAATCTCCTCTGCACTTACACATGTGGTATACATGCATTTCCCTACTTCCAGGATATGACAAAGAAATTTCAAAGAAACAGAAATTTATGCAACTCATTTCCTTACTTTGTGGGTATGAAAAAGAAATTTCAAAGACAGGCAAATTATTTTTTAAAAGCTTTATCAAAGTTTGCCTCGATATGATGTTTAACAAGCTGGTAACATTAAAATAATCTCAGCTAAAAGTTCAGTTTGTTATTCCTTTATGACCTATTAACAATCATTTAAGGACATGCCACCTTGGGGAAAGCTGGAATTTTCAGACAAACCATTCTCCTGCAGCCAGTACCTGGCACTTGCCCTACGTAAGCCTAAAACCTGTGACCCAGAGACGGAGTGCTAGTGATAAAGACAGTCAGACCTTTAACCACAAGGCCGTCATGGCTCGGTAGCTAAAAATATATCCTTATGTTTATATCTAATAACTGAATTTACTGAAGCGTGAAGATTCTGACATCATTGTGGTGACTTACACTATTGAATGCACTGAGGACACCGCCAGCATACACCGGTACAATGCACGTCGTCACTGACGTCTGCTTAGCATTGGCATATGCCTGGTATTCTGTTGAAAAAATAAAATTATATTTAGCTGAAAGATCTTTTCTAAAAGTTTTTCACCATTTCATAAAAAGAATATGGTCAGGGACATAACTATATATATATACACGGTTTTTTTTTAATTCAACTTTTACAGATACTAATCTAATGATAAGCATTACCTGAAAAATTTAATGTAGAATTTTAAGAGAGTTTAAAAGGTATGTCAGACACTAAGAACTTACCAACATGTTCATCTGTTAACATCATAAGTTCTATAAACTTTGGCCGGATCTGAAAACAGAAATTTTAGCTATCATTTCAAAAATCCTCGTAAATTTTATTTTTTTCTAATCTTCAGAAAAAAAGGTTTGCTGAAAAATGAAGTTATCAGAAGCAGTAGTGACAAGTTATAAATTAGCAGAGATTTCAAATCTCTCACATTTCTGTTAGATATAAAGCTCACTTATTTCACAACTATGGCGCAAACTCATATAAATCTTTCTTGCTTGCACAGACATATGTATGTAAGAGGTATAACTGTGTGAAGGAACTGGACTATCCGGGAAAAACCCACGTTGTCAGGCAGATGACCTCACAGCTTTAAACGGCCAATTCAGAAATGGGAATCCCCAGTCACTTTGGTCAAAATCAAGTGTGTTATCCAATATGTAAAAACTTATCACTGTAAAATGACTGAATTTCTTTTTAAAAATTAAAAACAAAATTGTTTTAATATTTAAGAATAAGTTTACCTTCTTTTCTGTGAATGTTTTGCCAAATGTCCGGCAAATCTTAAAGAAACATTTACACTGACACGTAGTGATGCGAGGAGCTGAGAGTCCAGCGCCCATGGAGATCTCAATAAGACGTGGGATACTGGGGGGAAAAAGGTACATTTACAATCACAACAAACTATTATTAATTTGAAATCTGACATTTACATAAAAAAACATTCAATCTTATATAAGATTGTGAAAAGAACATCAAACCATTAGCTGACTTTACATCAATAACCCTATCGCCTAATACTTCCTTTGAAATAAAAGTTAGGGGAATTTATCAAAGACAAATACTTCTTTTTTGAAAAAGTGCATATCTGAAATATCTCAAGCAATAAATTATTAAAAGTTTTGTTTTTTGTTTTTTGTTTTTTTTTTTTTTTTAAGAAAAAGTCTGAAACCTTCATTTCAATCATATAAAATAAGTATATACAGGTCTTACTTTCTTCAGTGTCAGGAAAAATTTTAAATACTTATTTCCAGTAAGTTGTAAGTTTTTCAAATGCAAGAGTGTCTTAATGAAATAAATAACAAATTTCCAAAATAAAATACAATGAATCTGATTTCACTACTTACAGATTATTTACAACCCAGTTAAAGTTGTCCCATGGTTCAAACCATTCCTGAGATATGTGGTTTTCATATAGATACATAAGGGCAGACAACTCTCGTCCACCTCCAACTACAGTTTTCAGATCTGACAATGGTGAGCTTGGTTTGGGAAACCGAGATGCTGAAAAAGAACCAAAACAACAATATTAAAGTGTAAGCTCAATGGGAATGATTTTTTTTGCTTATGAACTTTATGAGTACTTAAAGAAAAAGTAAGGTTTCCGAGATATTCTTCAGTGTTTTAAATTGACCAAGGAGAGTGATATGTGGGATGGGTCTGTTAGAATACAAGGGATAATTCTGAGTGACAGAATTATCCTGGAATCAACCAATGAGTCTCGTGAAGACGAAATAAAATGTTTCTGTACTGGAAAAAAAATCTATTAGCAATGACAACATTTCTACGTTCGCTTAATGTAGATAATATCATGACCATATAGATCAGATCTTCTCGTTTATTGCCTTGTTTACACATAGATTGATAGGATAGAGACCTTTTGCTGGAGATACAAAAGATAATTTGAACATGTTGCAATAAGCCTGAGGATCGAGTCTATATCAAAGACTAAAAGTAAGGAGCTGGGCTTATTACAGCACAGTGATAAAAGATTTATTGATTTTCAGGTGGAAACAGTATCATATATATAGCTGGGCTTATTACAGGACAATGATACAGCATCTATTGATGTTTAAACTGAAACAGTATCATATAAATATATATATGTGTGTGTGGGCTTATTACAGGACAATGATAAAAGAGTTATTGATAGTTTTTATGGAAACAGTATAATACATATGGCTGGGCTTATTACAGCACAATGATTCTAATAACATTATATCAAAGCTGTGTTATTTATATGGGTTCGCTTATTACTAAATAAATATCACAATTTAATATAGATACTTACCATCTACAGGCTCTGCTGTACCCAATACTTCACTGATTTTACCAACAAATGGAGCGGATTTGACCATAGAGATAAACAGGAAGGGGACGAGTTCTTGGAGAGCCATCATGAGGAGGAGGAAGCGTCCCTCGTTCAGGGGTATCGTCACACTATTGGATGCCTTCTGAGCCGCTAGAGCACACTATCAAAATAAAGTCAGTGACAGGTTTTAGAGCAAGAAATATTTCTGTATTTGTTTGTCTGTTACTCTCCTTATAATGGTTTTGTTTTCCCTATTTTAACTTCCCTGTTGTCTATGGAAAGTAAAGAAGTTGTTTGATTGTGTTCCAATTCATAATGTAAATAAAAAACAAAATAGATATATTGAAAATAAAAGATAAATAAAAATGAAAATATTGAAGTTAACTTTTACAATTTCATCTACCCTGAACAAAACACAAGATTTTTTTCACTACTTCATTACCAGATTCCTTCTTTTCAGAGATTTTGATATTGTCTTTTTAGCCAATCAGCAGTAACGTATCAAACAAACAAACAAAAAATAGCCAATGGAAATACTTGTTACAAAAAAGATAAATTATTTATGGGGTAACAAAGACATTATAAAGGAGGTACTCTGTACAATTTGTGTTTCACATGCAAAATATTTACTTAAATTTATATTTGTAAACAATGAGTTCAATGCGAAACACAATTTAAAAAAAACACTCAATGATATCTGTATAATGTATATGCATTAAAACATCAAATTATTTTCATACTACTTAATATGCACGTGTATTGATATTTATAGATTGGCAGTGAAAATAATTAACTAATCGACACAATAAGCCTGGGTGTAATTTTGTGAATAACAATATTGATAACTATTCTGCATAAACAACATCAACAACTTTTCACTTTAAACCTCTGCCACCCCTCAGATAATAAGTGGTACAGTCCAAGTCAATGAATATTAGAGTCCACTATGACAGCAGAGGGGTGGAAGGGTTTAGCCAAACATAAAAATGAAAAGTGTGCAAAAAGATCTGACCTTCTTTTGAATAAGAAATTTCATTCTAAAACCGAAATAAAAATTAAACACTGGTACTAATTTTTAATAAAATTTAAATGAAAAATTGCAAAGAGCTAGTTTTTAAGCAATGTTTTAACATGAAAATGATTAGCATCGCTTTAGGCAATCTACAATCTAGATAGTTTTCTTTAAAAAGATCATAACGTAGAAATATCAACTGAATATATAAAAATATTTGAGAGGATTGAAGCAGAGATGTTAAATGCTCTGGTTACATAGATATACTACAATTACCTACAGAAGTATAATATATTAAATATGTACTACAGACACTACAGTAGAAATGGTGATTAATTTGATTATAAAAATCAAACACTCATTAAAAAGGTATAAAATATGTAAATAAACAATTATGATATGAATATGTATGTAGTATATATGATATTTTCAAGAAATTTGTTGTGGTCCAGAAAAAATGACAGAAAAAGACTTCATCAAATATCTCTAGATATACTTTTATTCAGAAACATAAAATTTTCACTGAAGTAAACTTTTGTTTATAAAGGACATACTGTTCTCTGATTCAGTACGATTTTATTGACTTAAAAGTTAAGAAACAGATTTTTTAAATGTAATTTCAAAACTACAAATTTCGTGTTTAAGATGTTGGGTTCTTTATATAAAGTTAAGAGTACGGAAAAACTTTCCTCACTTGAAACATCAACTTTTTCAAATCTATTTTCGAAATATTTATTAAAATGTGAATGCTGGAATTTTTTTTCTTTAACAGTGATTATCAATAAACACCTAATTTATTGTTTGATAAAACATACAAATGATGTATCAAACTCTAAACCTCTCTGCGATAAAATCAATTTAATAATCCCACCACCTCAAGAATCATACCTGTATGTTATAGCTCCATGAAGATAATTACAAACGGAGACAACTTCATTATACTGTTAATGTACATATTTTGGCGTATTCTAATTTCAGTGTAATAGTAATTTTGAACACATAATCAGGATGAAGAATTTGCTTAGTGTCAAAGGTGTCAAATACCTGTCAAAGGTGTCAAATAACTGTCAAAGGTGTCAAATACCAGTCAAAGGTGTCAAATAACTGTCAAAGGTGTCAAATAACTTTACTGCTAAAAAATGTACATTTACAGAATTGAATTATTATTTCATTTTTTTTAAAAAGATAATGATGTTCATTTAGAATAAATCATTAATAGGAAAACAAATTATAAAGAGTTTTTTTCCCCTTTTTGACAAAATATTTCAAATTCATATTTTTTTCTAATTTTATGAAGCAGCAGTCAACAGGTATGTTTCTTTAAAAGAAAAATTTCTGTGTCAAAAGGTGAAAGCATCGGTTTGGAAAACAGGACCGCAACACAGTATTTTGTCACCACGGAAACTGAAAAACACTGGCAGCAGAAAGAGAGAATATTAACATAATTAACACATTAATTAATGAATGATCTATAAAACATTGGCCACCATCAAATCTGACAGATATACTGGCTAGCATAGCAAAACAGTAAAGCCACAATCACAGAACACAAATGTTGGTGCCCTATCCTTTTAATAATTTCTTAATTCATGATGTACTTTACGACTGGCATGATCAGGATTTGACAAGGTCCTGTTACAGAATACTGGCTATGTAATTCTTGTATTTTTTTCATAGAATTTGTTTCATTTTTATTTTGAACTCTCAAAAATACTATAAGATTGCAAAAAAAATAAATTCAAAACATTTTAATGTAAAGGATTTATATACATATATTTCTTTAAAATATCTGTCAGATATGAAATCAACACAATGGTGATGTAACAATGGAACTGACAGGCAGAATTGAACAGTGACGAGGGGGCTATCAGTTGGAAACTTGAGACTTTATATAATGGTCACGTGAATAGGATTGAGAAATAGTGCACATTGAAAGTGACGAGAAAGATAAAGGATTATTTCCAAAACTGTATTCATCTTTCAATTTTATTGGAGGAAAGTGTGGCAAATTATGATTGGATGATTTTATCGATGGTGTGTGGAGTCTGAAAAAACAGAGTGTGATTATATAAACGGCACACCTTTTCTGGCAGGCTTCACTACCAAAAATAACATACCTGTCGTGTCGCCAACTGTAGGTAAACATTACATCATAGGCGGTATAGTCATTTATCATACCACAACATAATCTAATTAGGCTCAATTATCACAACAAAACAATCCTAATTCCTCTTTGGTGGGTTTGCAGTCTACGCCCTATATATTTCATGATTATTGTGTAAAAAAATTCAATTGTAATAAAATCTCCTATGGTAAAGATATAGATTTTTTCCCTAATTTGCTAATGAGGAAAACAACCCTATAGGAAGTTTGATTTAGCTTCAGGATCTACAGGTTCAAATCTTCTTCAATCTATGTATTACAACACAAACTTGAGGCCTTTTCATTTTTGTGGGCAAGACTCTCCAGAAAGCAAAAATAATACTACAACATTTAGCCTCATTTTTTTTCTTCCCCAAACCTGTCATCAAATAACTCTTGTCAAGTCACTTGGACCATGATTTACAAAAATAGCTTTGTTATAAGATTATGTCAAGTATTCTAGCCCCTTTTGTCATGAACAGCTTGGCTTCAGGGTTGAGGAGAATTTTTTCCATGCTTCAAGAAATATTTCCGATAGAAAAAAATTCAGCTAATGAGCGGTTACATACTGAAACTTTACCTCTGGAGTAATATTCATGAAAATTGGATATCATCTTACATCTAAATTGCAAAAGTTTAATACGTTAAAATTTCATTATATGGTTTTCAAACAATACCACAAAATTTTTGAACCATGAAAATTACCAGCTACACAGTATGTGAGTATTGTAGCTACCAACCTGTATTTGAAATAAGTCTACAAGATCTGTACATATTTATACCACCTAGTAGTTCCATTGTTCTTGTGAATACAAATAATAAACTTTTAAGCACAAATAGATAAAAATTAAAGTTAAATAATAGATACCACACTAGCACTAATATTAATCAGGAAAGCAACCCCCTGTGTCATCAAGTAGTGAAAGGAATCCAACTGTTTTAGCAATGTAGATAATTTCTTTATTTAACATCTGAGAGATATATGCATAACAAATGTATACCCTCAGACTGTGGCCTGTAAAACATGGCTGATTCTGACCTTGACCTTTGATTTAAATTTTTTTTACTTTTTCAGACAATCCATTGATGAATAAATTCCATAAAAGTCCATCACAATGTTGAAGTATTTTTTTACTATGGGTTATTTACCAGGGTCATTTTCCTAGTGGAAAAATTTTATCCTAGTATGTATTTTATTCAACTTTTTTTTAACTTATAACCCTATATATGTCCCAACATTTTCCTCTCTCGACAAATTCAAGTCAACATTCGTTTATTATTCCCATCCAAAAATCTCTAGCCTTTATATGACTTCGAAAAGGAAATTAATCTGATAAGTTTCAAATCTGGTATCAAAATTCATGCAATAATGCATTAACTCCTAAACCTGTACCTAGCTAGCAATTTTCAGTGAATTTGTCAATATTTTTTCTTTAGTCAAAAACATGCAGTTTTTAAAGACCATAAATAAGGTTGATGACACAAGGTGGAGCCGGTGAGCCAGGGTGAGAAGCAGAGATATATGGAATTGCCTTAACTAGTTCTTCCAGATCCTTAAGGATGGTATTTATCAGATTGTGTTCCAACTTGTCCAGTTCCTGAGCCCAGACTGCAAATGCTGGTAGGAAGACCTGCTGGGCTGCTGTGATCACTCGCTCTGAGTTGTCCTTTAGGGCTGTCTGCAAAAGCTCAAAACCCTGTCAAGGAAAAATCACAAAATATTTTTAAAAACTGGAACATTTAGAAACATTGAGAAAGGAAAAAAAAGAAATTGATTATATACAACCTCAATTTTTTTTTCTCAAACTAAAATTGAAGGACTGCAATATTCCCAAATGACCTCTGAACCCATACTGACACAATGAAAGGTTTCTTTGTGAAGGTAATGATGTCTTGAGACAAACTATTACAGATATAATTTGTGTAGTGTGTTTTACATCAAAAAGAGTATTTAAAAGGAAACAACACTGTGTCGTACCTGGGAGAATTTGTCCGTATCACAGATAAAGCCAAAGAGTAGACCAAGGCTCCTGACCACAGCCTCTCGGACTTCCTCATCCTTATCATCACTCAGCATCTGTTGCAGCATGGACAGCACTAGTGAGCTCAGGATTTCATTCTGAAAGTAGATAGTGAGCTTTACAGTTAAGATAGTGAGCTTTACAGTTAAGATAGTGAGCTTTTACAGTTAAGATAGTGAGCTTTTACAGTTAAGATAGTGAGCTTTACAGTTAAGATAGTGAGCTTTACAGTTAAGATAGTGAGCTTTACAGTTAAGATAGTGAGCTTTACAGTTAAGATAGTGAGCTTTACAGTTAAGATAGTGAGCTTTTACAGTTAAGATAGTGAGCTTTACAGTTAAGATAGTGAGCTTTTACAGTTAAGATAGTGAGCTTTACAGTTAAGATAGTGAGCTTTACAGTTAAGATAGTGAGCTTTTACAGTTAAGATAGTGAGCTTTTACAGTTAAGATAGTGAGCTTTACAGTTAAGATAGTGAGCTTTTACAGTTAAGATAGTGAGCTTTACAGTTAAGATAGTGAGCTTTACAGTTAAGATAGTGAGCTTTACAGTTAAGATAGTGAGCTTTTACAGTTAAGATAGTGAGCTTTACGGTTAAGATAGTGAGCTTTTACAGTTAAGATAGTGAGCTTTACAGTTAAGATAGTGAGCTTTACGGTTAAGATAGTGAACTTTTACAGTTAAGATAGTGAGCTTTACAGTTAAGATAGTGAGCTTTACAGTTAAGATAGTGAGCTTTTACAGTTAAGATAGTGAGCTTTACAGTTAAGATAGTGAGCTTTACAGTTAAGATAGTGAGCTTTACAGTTAAGATAGTGAGCTTTACAGTTAAGATAGTGAGCTTTATAGTTAAGATAGTGAGCTTTACAGTTAAGATAGTGAGCTTTATAGTTAAGATAGTGAGCTTTACAGTTAAGATAGTGAGCTTTACAGTTAAGATGGTGAGCTTTACAGTTAAGATAGTGAGCTTTACAGTTAAGATAGTGAATTTTGATAGATAATGAGCATTGTTTTTGTAAGAAAGATGTACGTTTTCCAGGATAAGGTTAAAACAATAGGGGCATAACTCCAAAGGAAATCATCAAATCAGATAATGAATCTCGAAGATACATTTACTTTTGGTATTGATCTGGTAGAGAAAATAAACAGATTCCATCATTAAAAAATTTATTTTATTTTATGTAAAGCAATATACAAAGAAAATCATCAACGTTAAGATCTGTAAAATACAGACGGACGGACAGACGACAGACAACATGGTATGTCATAAGCTCACTTGGCCTATCCAACCAAGTGAACTAAACACAAAGTGAGCAGGAACTCACATAGATATACCCCCACCCCCTCATCTTTTTCTTCTGATCTAAAGCTATTGAGGTTTTTTTTTTATTTTAACAGACATCGACAGTGACCTTTGACCTTTAACCTAGATCAATTACCACCAAAATCTTGTTTTGTGTAAGACTTGGTAATGTGATGCTATGGTGTAGATATGAACTAAATCTGTCTTCAGGTTCATGCACTTATGCACACAAGTCAAAGCAATTACTAAAAACCTCCCCCTCCCTTACATAAGTAGGTATAAGATTTGTCCATACAGAAAATATAAACAAAGTGAACTTTCCATTCAGTGAACTATGAATTCTCTAATTGTATACTTACAGGTAGATAGGAAGCCAGAGCCCCACACGCCTCTGCCACTAGTATCCTCCTCTCTGCATACTTGTGACTGATCTGTATGTGACAATATTGCTTTGTCAGTACATGATTTCAAATTACCACTTAGCCTAGCTGGTGAGGATCATATTTTTCTGTCATACAGAAAATTATATGATAAAGACTAATTTTCTATCTTAAATCTGATATGAATTAACTTCTATAAATTCCTACATTGATACTGAAGCAGCATTTTCTCCATCATAAATCTAAGTTTTTGCATATAATCTTATTAACCAAAATATGATATAAGCAGTCATTACATTAACAGATGTGACATTAACAGGAGTATAACAAATCTCTGGTTACCTGTTCCCAACACTGTGGGAGGAGTTCCTCCATGAGTCGAGCTTGTCCGACATGTTGGGCAAAAGCGACACATCCCGTCAGTATCATCTGTCTGTAAACACACAATTACATTTAATTAGACGTACATTTGTTATTCCCTATAAGCAAATTCTTCATCTCTATATAAGGAAACATTTCAGCATTAACCTTTGATATTGTTATTTTTTAGGGGGTTCCATGTTTCATTTTTTTCAATAACAGAATGAACTTGTGAGAATAGATACCATGGTAGTAAAGTAGGCAGAAGAAATCCATGGTCTGTGAAACTTCAGTGAAAACTACATCCTCCTTCTTCAACTGATCAGTAAAACATTCAGAATTTTAACCATAAAAAAGCAAAAAAAATACACCCTTTACAGTACACAATCCAGTAAGTCTTATCTAAAAATTTAGATTAAAATCACTATCTTTATATACACTATCTTTATCCTGTAATAAGCCCAGGGGTATAACACTTATAAACTTTTATTGTGTTTTTAGTATTGGGCTTATTACAGCATAACAAAACTGGATTTGTTTGTATTTCTGTAGGAATGGAAAAGATATGGGTGGGCTTATTACCAGATATTGGCCAAGTACAAGATTAAATTTTGATCTACAAATTTTGATAAACGTCAAACCTTTGTTCATCGTCTGGTTTCTTGATGAGATTAAACAGGATGTTCAGTAATTTGTCTCTTTCCTTTGAGTCTGGATGCAACATGGCCGTACACAGGATCAGGGGAATTAACTCCTGTCAAAATCAATGTTATGTATAAATGAAGTGTAATACAATCCAGGAGAAAATACTCAATAAATAAAATTGTCAAAAACAAAAAGGTCTGCATATAAAAGACATTGGGAGGAGTACAATATAACTAGGATTCAGTGGAAGGGGTCTAGCACACCAATTATTAAAAATAGTGTGATTGTTCTATGACCTAGTCGATAAATTGTGTTTGACCAGGGGAAATAACTCTGTTTACAATACACTAACCAATGGAATTTTCATACAAAAACAAGAGAATTATCTCTTTTGTATGATTTTACATATGGACAAGGGAGATAGCTCTGATTTCAACATTTCTATCCCTCTATCAGTTTGCTTTTCTAGTGAGTTGCAAAATTCGTTTGACACAACTATTGACCTAATGTAACCAGGAGCCAGGAATATGGTTTCTGTCTCTCAACTGATGGGTAGTTGTGACATGTCCATGGAATTTGAGAAATATCATAGCAGTACTCAGGTAAAAAAAGCTGTTAAGAATGGACACAGAATTACAACAGAAAAAAACTAATGACCGCAGGCAAATATCACACCAAACTATTTTGATGTTTGAAGTGACTTACCTCCCTTTTGGCTAGAAGGACATTGGGCACTATATGAGGTAGACAGCGACCTAGCATCAAAACCACATTGTCTTTGTTGAAGCCTGCGATCTGAGACACCTATAATAAGCACAGAAAAAGTAAACATGAAGACAAAGATTACAAGTAAAAATACAGGTAATATATACCGGTAAAATTCAAAGGAAAAAATACAGGTAAAATATACAGGTAAAATTCTAAAGAAAAAATACAGGTAAAATAAACAGGTAAAATTCAAAGGAAAAAAGAAAAAATACAGGTAAAATATAACGGTAAAAATTTAAAGGTGAAAATATGGGTAAAACATACAGATTAAATTTACAGATGAAAATACAGGTAAAACATACAGGTAATTTACCGTTAAAAAAATACAGGTTTAACATACAGGTAAAATTTTCCAATAAAAATACAGGTAATACATACAAATAAAATTGACAGTGTCTTAGGCTGTTAAAAATTATGTAATATCTAATTTCCTGAGCATATACTGGATTAGCAAACAATGGACAACTTCCAACATCATCAGTCACTTAAACAAGTAAAACAGCAAATAACAAAATTTCTGACAACCTTAGAAAAATGAAAATAAACATGTAAGTCAGTAAACAAGCATACTGAGAATTTCTGAGAAGATATATGTCCTCTACAGGTCCACACAAGCTATTACACTGTAACAATTTATAAATTTTCTAAAAATAGTAACAGTGACCTTGACCCAAAATCTCTGAAACTCAAACTTGCCCAAGATATCTTTTTCAAGTTTGATATGAATCCCTAAAGGAATGAAGTCGCTAGAGTGCTAACAAAATTTCACAGGCTCAGAAAAATACACATGGACAGAGAGGAGAACCATATTCCCTCCTGTTTTCATCAGTAGGGGACTAATATGTGACTATAAACATCTAACATGTCCAAAATATATCAGAACTCCAACTAAATGAAATTCAGTTAATTTCCATCACTAATCTGACAAGATAGACATATCCAGTTGGGAAAGTTAGTCAAATATACAGTTCATTTTGGTTGTTTTCCTTTACACAAATTAGGAGACAAATCTCTTTAATTTGGACTATCATATATTCTTTTGCTTAGAAATTGCTACCTATTGTTGAAAAAAGATACAAAAGAAGTAAATTCTGCTGTAGCTACTTTTGCTGGGCATTTGATGGCAGTAATGATTCATTGAAGGGAGATAACTATCCACTCCCCTATGAAGTTCTTCATACTTGCCTCACTCACAATCCGGTTGTCCTTGGACACATGGAAACATACATCTAACAGGGCCTTCTTGAATGTTGGTGGTAGATGTCTGTCACAAAAAAGACACTGTTTTACAAGTCAATAACTATATCACTTATATTTGTTTACTTCAAATGAATGGTGGTCAAGTTACATAACAAATTATTATTTCATAAAAAAACAAGAGTACCGCAAAGCGGAACAAAATATGCCCGTGAATATCCAAAAGAGCAAAGGGGCATAACTCTTATTCAAATCATCTAATCAAAACCCCGTTCAGGAAAACACAACTTCATATCATGATGACTAAGCCTACTAAGTTTCATAAAGATCGGCTGAAAAATGTAGGAGGAGATCTCTGGACAAATAAAAGTTTACGACAGACACCGGACGCTTGACGGACGGACGGACAGCGCCATACCATAATATGTCCGTCTTTCGACAGGTGTATAAAAATGTCTTCAATCTTAGCTTATTCCAAAATTTACCTAGAAGAATCTCACAAATATTATCGTTTCTGCTGTTTTAAAAACCCAGTAGACTTGTCTATAAGGCCATTCATTGTATGAGTAAAATTTTTTTTTACCTTGGTGTCCTTTATATAGAAGTTCTAGATATTTATACAGAGGGCTTTTAAGTCAGGAATGTACTTTGAACTTTGACCTCAGATATAAATATTTTTTCCCATGAGGATATCTGACTAATAATTTTGATATTTCAGAATATTTACTCCTACATGTTCAAACATTTCTTTTTGATACTTCAAAAAGTGGGAACTCCTCCTCAAAATGTCAGAATTCAAAAAACAAGGAAACAGAAATATATGCATCTTGAAATAATCAGCAGAGATGTTTTTCCTGTCACCATTTTGTTCAAAGTTTACCTTGCATCTGCATTTTCTTTTTCTTCAGATTCCTCTTCTTTCTTACTGATATTTGGTGTATCTATGACAACAAAATCACTATTTCTTTCATCTGGGTCCTCTGAATGTTTGCTTTCATTGAGATCTGACCTTGACATTTCACTGTCCTCTACAGAGTTAGAGTCTATATCATCACCATGGTTACTGTTCATGGTTGTGTTTTGATCAATATCTGCAGATTTGGAAAGTTTTATGGGAGATAAATCAACATCTACATCTCCATTTTGTTGTGGTAAGGATTTTGTAACCTCTAAAGAATTCTGCAATTCTGTTTTTAATCTGAAAATGATAAAATTAAATTTGATGAACCATATTATAATAAGTGATTATAAACGATTTAGAAAAAATGGTGTTATATTTCACATGCATTACTACTACAAGAATTTTTTTAACATTTCTGATCTCTGTGTCAACCATTTTACAGTAAGAAATATGATTGCAAGTCTCATTTCACACAGATACCTACCTATATAAATAGGTACCATTATTCATACTCATGTCCCTTCATTAATCATTTTTTTCTTGCATTCAGTGTTATGTCATAATTAAGTCAAACACAACCTCTAACCAAAATCTCCAATCACATCCCTGTTTCACAGTGATATTAGTAATTCTGTATTTTGTCCATGGTTAAGTAATGTGTGACCTGTTTTTTGCGTTAACCCGACACCCTACCCTACCTGCACATCTCCGATAGTTGGTTCTGTAGATCTACTTTCTCCGACTGTATCAAAACAACTTGGTCCTCCAATTCTTTAATTTGGTAATCCTGGAAACAACCATTTAAATTTTGAAATGTTTCAAGAAGTTTTCCTGACAATAAACTGGATTTTCATTCAAACATAGAAATAAGCACACTGAATGGACTTATTCAGCTCTCTTTCCATGGTTTTATGCTGTATAATGAATATGATGATAAATTTCTTTTTTAATCAAATTAAATGTGTTTGATTCAATTTAAATTACATTAAATTTATCCTACAATGAGCGGAGGGGGTCAATACAATTAAAACTGAATACATCTAATGAGGAGAGTAAATCAAACAGGGAAATGACAATTTTTTACTGCAACTGCAATAGGGTGGGCTTATTAAAAGACATTGGCCAGATAAATAAGGATCTATTACATATGTAGAGTAGTACTTTCACTCACCAAATGTTCCTTTGTTGTTATCCAGTCCTGTTCTAGTTCTCCAATCCGATCTTCTTCAAAATTTACCCAACATTCAACACTGTTTGTTTCTACTTCCTGTATAGCATGACTTCCATAGTCCTTGTAAAGATGTAGGAGATCTGGGGGTCTTGGAATGTTCAATCCAACATCATCCCAGTCTTCAAAATCCTGTAAATGTTCCAATTCAGATAATAAAATGTGATTCTTTTTTAATTAATTCTTTGTTTATTGATTGCTGTGGGGTTTTTTAACTTTATTTATTTTACAACAACTGCAAAACTTATATTCAACTTATATCAATCACTTTTGTTGGCCCAGATGGAAGCGTTCAAGGAGTCTTACTATGGGAGAAAACCAGAGTACCTAGAGAAAACACATGTGGTTGGGCAGGTGACTCCTATACCTTTTCATGTCTGTGTTGAGAATAGAACACACGGACAAGATTTGGATCTGAATATAGAGGCCTAATGGGCATGCGTTCAGAATCGACGAAGTAAGATTAAGTAAGTAAGAACTATGGACATCTTGGACAAAGGCGAACGTGTCACCCCTGCACTTTAGGACCACCCAAACTGTGTTTATTGTCCTATGACTAGCAAGGATCATTTTCAGATGGGATTTATATGTAGTAGCTGGTGGCTACTTAACTGAACATCATGCTAGAGGTCCACTGAATGCTATCCAAAGGAAATATAGTAAATGTGGAATAAACCATAACAGCACAAGACAGACCATGATCCTGAGAAATACAAACCACCAGTAATTCTATAGAATAACAGGAATATACGTACCTGATCCTCATTTTCTTCACTGAAAGTGACAGAAGTGAGTTTGTAGTTGTTCATCAGCAGGTACTCGTTAACGAGGTAATTAAGAGCTCGCTTGTCAAGTGGTCGTATCGGATCATCCTTACTCATCTGTGTAAACCCTTCTGCCACATTTTCTGTACATTCATTTTCTATGATTGAATAAAAAAAATGCTACAGATAACAGAATTATTAACACTTATCAATACAGAAGATGAACTGTAGCTTATAAATAAAAGTCAAAATCACATTCTTCTTCGGACAATGCAGTGTACTTCCTTGATTTTTTTGGGGGAAAATTGCCATCTGGCAAAAATGAGATATTTTTTTTCTATATGGGGAGGCGAAAGTGGAAAAGAAAACATCCATGGCTGGTTTTTCATGTTCTTACTTAAAAAAAACACACACACACAAAATTTAAACACTTTTAGAATTTTCATGACTACTGTGAAAAAGAAACATATATACATAATTGGGAATAGTAAAACAGTACAATAAGCAGGAAAAACACTACAATAAGTAAATATGTATATATTCTTGATTTGTGTTATTGTTTCAATTTTACGGGTTTTTTTCTTTTAACAATTTTTAGTTTCTTGTGTAGATCAATTAAATTTTGAGTTTTGTTGTACTTTTGATTGAATCACTCCTTTAGTGTCATTTTACAAAACATTTAGCATTTTAATTGTGTTATGCTTGTAATCCTACATTTCATCAGGAAAATATATATATATCAAAATGAAAGACAAACAGCTTGACAGGGGAAACAACTCTGAACCAGAAAATATTTTTATGTTCAATTACAGTGGAATCACCCAAGGAGTGTTTCCATTAGCAGTATCCATTAATCTAAATGAACTTACCTGCTTCCTTTGTAAGACTGGCGCGGAGTGACTTTATTGTTTCTTGTGCCTTTCGTAGTTCAAATTCAAGCACTAGGGAGATAAAAGAAAATTGAAAATATCCTCAATTGATTGGAGATTATCAATCTTAGGAAAGTTATTTTCATTTCAATATCTGATATGTAAAATTATTAGATATGAAACTGTTTTGTTTGTCATTGTATTCTTTTGCATTATATTGACACTTGATATGTAAAATTATTAGGTATTGTCCATTCCATAGAAATAATTAACCAAACACTAATTATGACAAAATAATTTTGAAGCTAGCATGTTTGCAATCAGTATGGTTACCTGCAACACGTTCATCCACTTGACCTGCCCCATCATCAGAATACCTAGCAAAGTCGAGGGAATCAAAAGTCTGAATGCTGGAGGTCCTGGCTGAAAGAGAAAATAAAGATATAACAAATCCACGCCAATACTTCAATTCACAAATAGCTAACAATAAAATATAGCAGTTTATTTCAGTAGGATATGCACATCGTAGTAAATTAAGCCTTTGATAAAAAAAACATCGATTTTCAGTCATTGTTCAATATCAGGAATACTATAAAATACAATTGCAATTTCATTTAAATTGCAACCTGATATGGGTTAAATCTAAAAAAGTTTATTTTTTTTAAATTGTAATTTTTCAATGAACTAGGCATCCCATTCTAAACTCACATGAAATAAATATTACAAGTTCAGTTTTGCTGAATAAATGTAGTTAACTATGTTTCAATACAGTGGATGTCTTAGTATGACCATTCTATGATTACTGGATTACTTTTGTAGACGTGATGTCATAAAAAAAACCGTTTTATTACCGGTCCCGCCCCTTTCGCAGCTTCTGTATCCTTACAATCACATTCCTAAATAACATGATTGAAATCCACAGACACAATTATTTTATATTATATTTCATTTCAGAAACTGAGGAATAGAATATTGCTCTCTTGTTGCGTATCGATAACAATATATTCGGTAACTTTTAGTTTCTAATATCGGTGTTGTTTAGTCAAATCACTAATGTCAGTAATCACACAGGTGAAGTTCGTATTTCATAGCAATCATCGTTTCTAATTGAAATACTAGAACCGATCCTTACGTAAACCAGGTGAAGTCAGATCATCGCGGGTCCTTTCAAAATTTCCAGGGTTTGAGAAATAGTCTCTCAAACGTGGAAGTTCTCTCCCTGACTCGATCAACTCTGTATGGAACTCTAACGCAGTAAGCATAAAGTTCTCCCTCAATAACTTATGTGCAATCGAGTCCCATGATGATTCAGACTGTTCCATAGGCACTATGTCATTATCGGTGTCATCAAACTGTTGTTCTTCTGTTATTTCTGGATCCACATCGCAATCGAAGGGATTGGTGTTTGTGTTGTCCGCCATTTTGTGGTCACGTGACACAAGACTTAAACAAAATATATATTTCTGTATGTTCTGATAAACTATTTAAGATTTATAGACGATGTGAAACAAATAAATATTTTAGCTGACACAGTATCAATATAAATAAATTTGAACGGCAAATAATGAAAAAATGAATTCTAAATAAAGTAACGGAAGTTGAGGTCACATGATCCAGAGGCGCGCGAAATAAAAGTATCAACAATGGCGCAGCCAAGAGTCACCGAGTTCTTTTCAGCCCGAAAACGAACTGCTGATTCCCAGCCATCAAAGCGCAGAAAAGTTGTGATTTTATCTTCAAGTGTGGAAACTTTACCAGTTCAAAATGCAAATATTCGATCGACAAGGGCATCGTCGAGAAACAAGTCAGTGATCGATCCAGTTCCTGACCAAGTTAAGTTTACTTTCAATGCTAAGTCCGAACCACTTGCCACGAAAACACAAGACAAATCAAAATCGAAAACTAAATCGGTAAGAAAGGTACGTAAAACAAACACATCAGCATCTGAAAGAAATCAAAGTAACATTAAAGATGCATTTGAGAAGGCGAGCAGGGCAAACAGTCCGACTGAAGAAATCGGCAATAGTCAAGGCACTGATGAAGAAGTGACTTCGGCTTGGGACGAACATGACGGAGTACCATTGACACCTTCAAAACGACCAAAGAATGGCGATGACTCGTCCGACTCCGAGAGAACAGAGGCAACCAAAAAACGAACACGGAGAGGAAAAAGCAAAGCCACTGTAGCAGAAACGAAAGCGGTGACGCCATCGAAAGAGGAAAATGAGGAACCGGCTAGAAAACCTAAACCGGCCAAGAAGAAGCTTCATCTCCGCCCAGTCATCTATTCCTCTAGCGATGAAGGAAATTCGGAGACAGAGGTATAATTTATGCTAATTACAATTTATAAGATGTGTCAACTGGATATTGTTTTCACCTTATTCACAGTTTGATTATTTTTTCAAAACAACCGTGCCATTTGTTTTGATATAGGTTGATTCATACATTTTTATGGAAGATATTTCTCATGCATGAAACTCGTGCTTAAGCTATTACAAATTTCAGTATGTGTATTTGTAAACAATTTTATTTTGAATAGGTCACATCAGAAGAAATTTCAGACGTAACGCTGCCACCCAAGACGCCACCAGCTATCTCTCCTATACCAGACACCCCAGAGGTTGTGCGCCAGCAACTGAAGAAGGGCCCAGCCAAACCAACATCAAAGAAGGTCAAAGCAGCTATGGCACTTGTCCAGAAATTACAAGAAGACAAAGGAACATCTGAATCCAAGGCGACTTACAAAAATGATGTAAGATAGGAATTTGTTTTTGAATGTTAAATTTGGTAGATCAATACCACCGATATGTTATATATTTGAATTTCAAAATTTTGGTATTTAAACAACATGTAAATCAATTTTCTATTAGATCCGAAATTGAATTTTGGTTTCTATCTGAAAAGGGCCATGGATATTAAAAGATATAATGGATATCATATAGCATTGAAAACAAATGTAAAAAAGATTCAAGTGTAAAAACTAAGATGAATAATAAGCTTTGTAACTACTATTCTTTTCTGTAATTTAAACAAGAAAATTCCACCCTCTTGCCTATAAAGCAGGCATATTATCTACTTCACTTTTGATAAAAGGATAAGGAAATTTAGATAATGTCTAGGAAGATAGACAACCTGATTTTTTTCTCTGTTCACAGAATTTTCCATTCAAAGGGAGAGTTTCTATCCTCCCCCTCAATTTTTTTTTAATTATTATTGGTTTCTTAATGTTGTTATTTTGTTCAGTTGAAGGAAGCCATGACATCAGAAAACATGAAGCAGAAATTATCTAAGATTGGAGGTCTGGAAGATCTGAAGGCACGGTTAGCTGATATGGCTAAAACTAAAGCCAGTCTGAAAAAGGATGTACCGAAACTTCAGAAGTTTGACAAAGTGGATGTGGAAGTGCCATCACCTTCGAAAGAAACGTATGTTTCCAGTTGTTTGATTATTTGCATATTGCAATAATTTCAGCTAAAAACAGTTGAAAAAGAGGAAAACATGCATTGATCTATTATAAAACAAATTATAGTGGCAGATGAAAATGAGTATGGTATGCTACATTACTATTTGAATTTTTCAAAATTTTAGTGACAGAATACTTTTTGCTAAGAAAAAAAGCTGTGAAACCGGCATTATTCTAAAAAGTTTTGGTGTTTTTTCATTTTCTGAACAGATCAAAGAAGGCTCCAGCATACGAGAGATTTCATGCTCTGGCTACACCAGCGCCCCCTACGCTGACAATGCCATACAAGTACCGTCTACTTGGTGATATGTTCCGTAGCATGGACACTGTTGTGAGCATGCTTCATAACCGCACAGAGACTTGTACATTTTCCAAACTGAAGGCTGCAGTACAATCAATGACTAAAAGGTAGGTATAGTTCAATTTGCTTTAACATCAAAAATAAAAAAAAAATGATTGAGTCGCCATGTAGCAAAAAAACTTCGTAAGCACAGAATATACTGATAAAGCATTAAAGTATGTCTATGTGAGGGTCACTTTACTGATAATTAAAGATGAATGAAAAGGTGACGAAGAAATATATTAATAGAATTAAATAATTTCAAAAAATCGGATAAAACAGCAAGAAATTCTGAACATATTGCAGCAAAGTATCAACTTGAAAATTAAGTTTATTGAAACAATGGTGATCTATGCATATAAACAGGAATTTTGAGGAGAGCCACGTGGGCCAAGTAAAGACAGTGTACCCCACAGCTTATACATATCGCCAACAAAAGGGAATACCTGACTTCACCAGTAGTAAACCTGCTGGCTACCAGCTCACTTTGGAGGCTAATCTTAATGAAGGTAGGATTAATGCTTGGTTAGTTTCTACAAGGTTTTACCTGTTCATTACAAGGTTCTATTTGGTCTCCATTATTAGCTAACAGTTCATAATCATCATTTCAAAGTTATTTCACTGATATTTCTAACTCGACAACAGTTTTTCCCTACAATTATACCTGATGGTTTCTTATTGTTTGTTACTGTTAACACTTGTTATCCCCTCGTGTCGATATAGTGTTCTGTTCATATAGATAAAATTGTCATTGCTATTTATAGAAAATCTTTAATAAAACACAACATTATTGTAAATTGGAGCAAGGGGATTTGTATCCTTTCTTATGCCTTGTTTAATTATTAAAGGGAAATTATCATTTACAAACTAATTTTCAATTTCTGCTCTGAAGGAAATAATTTTTCCTCATCAAATTGGACAAGAATTCAGTTAAGAGCTAAAAAACTTAAATTGCAAAGAGGTCACCTGAATCACTTCCTGATGAAGTGGTTCCGCAACTTCACTCTAGAATTTTAAACTTTTAAGGTGATTTTTGCACGGCTTGACAAAAGTTGTCAATGTTTAATTGTACAATCTATTTTTATAATGCAGATGAAGATGTAAAACAGAAGAAAGTAAACTTCACAGCCAAAGACTTAATGGACAGACGCTGTGTCTTTCAGAATAAGCTGCTCTCTATTGTAAAACGGCACCACAAGGTTCGTCCTACTATCCATTCAGCAGATATATTTTTCTGGTATTGAAATAATTCAAGGCAAAATAGTATAACCAGGCATTCAGATAGGTTAATATGCAATTTGAATTTCTAAATAATCCAAGCATTATTGTATAAAAAAAGCATTATAGAGAACGATTTTAAAGTGAAGGATTTCTTTTCTATATCATTCATCAATAACAATGATTTGCGTATATACCTTGAACAATGCGCATGTGGTTCAAATTTTGATATTAACTTTATATTACTGATTTGATAGGAGTTCCTGGCCAGGTTGGATCAGCCTCTCACTGTCCCAGATGACAAGATAACACGTTGGCATCCAAAGTTCTCTGTTGATGAGGTCCCCGATATTGAAGTGTCAGAGCTACCCAAGCCTGTTGTTTCCCATAAATACACCACTGCAAAGGACGTCCTCGAGGCTCGTCGTGGACATCTCCCAGCAAAGGTATAGAAAGGTTACACAAAGACAGGATATCTGATATATAGTATCCCAGAGGTATTTCAAACTAGATGGCATATTACTTCACTTGTATGAATTCTACACCGAATAAATTTAGTCCAGTGTGTAATATTTTCAAGCATTATTCATATATACTGGAATAAGCTTTGATTGTTGTAAATATGGGTGGACAAAAGAGGAAGTTAACTTGTCTTAGTGTCTATAATTGATAAAAATCTCATGATTGATCATCAAATTTTCTGTGTTATCAATGATTGATCAACAGACCATTAAAACAAATACTTTGTTATGTATTTACACTTATTGTCAGTCATGGTTGTTCTGGTTTGAAGTCGCTTTAGTGAAAACACACCAGTTATCTCCCTTCTTTTGGATTGACCATCAGTAATTGTTTTACTGAAAACCTTGTTTCATCCATGCATAATGATGCTAACAAAAATTTATCTTAGATATTGTGATCAATAATGACTTTTATAATCGGCTCTCAATAAAGTGGATTCATCAGAACGCTGCAAGGAAGTCAAGAGATTTTTAATTGATCATGTTAAAAATGTTAGCCATTAGTGGTTGTTTCAATACAGAATGTAAACCCAGTTATCAAACTTTATTAGTTTTATGTGATGTTCAGAATGATACTCAACATTGGACATGCCTTTGCTGCTTTCTTTTGATCAATGGTAAGTAATAATGGTGACATGATCTTAGTGAATTAGAAATATATTAACTGAATGCTTAAGTGTTATATAAGTGACACAATATCTTTTACCCTGTTGAACTTTTGATAGGTAGAACAAGCACTAGAGAAAGTAGCACTGACTTCTAAAGAGGAGGTATCGAAAAAGGAAACTGTTAAAACAGATGCTAAAAGTGTGAATGCAACCAACTCGTCTTCCGGATCCCAGTACAAGGGAATTCCACAATCACTCCTCGACAAGGTAAATCTTGACTTTAATGTTCTCAGTAAAAGCATGTTGCTGAGAAAAAACTTGATCTTGCTTAACAAGTTGTGATTATGTCATTCCTACATGATAATATCTGTGTTCAGCTTTACTTGAAACCAGATCAGAATTGGTATTTTAAAAGTCACAAATTCCAAAATCACTCCTGGACAGGGTAAAATCTTGAGTGTTCTCATGAAAAGCATGTTGCTGAGAAAAACACTTAATAAGTTGTAATTATTTAATACCTACAAGATAATTTGTATCCAAATTTGGTAATGGCTTTACTGACCTACAAACTGATATAAATTATCAAAGTTATTGAGTCTAACTTAAGTCTACAGATACCAGATGAGAGGTGAGTTTTGCATTATAGATATTTGTTCTTATAAACTGTTATTGGGGAAGATTTTATTGATCAAAATTTTGGCTCATCAAATAACAGCAAGATGTAAAGAGTTCTTTTAAATTTGTTTTGTAAAATCTTTTACAGATTCGTGAAAAGGAGAATAAAAAGTTGACACTTGCGATGACAAGAAACCCTGTGGAAGACAGGCGCATGGAGATGTTACAGAGATTACCCAACCTGATGCGGATGCTGAGGTCACATTTTGTCACAGAGAAAAAACCTGCCCTTCTGCTGGAAAATATCATTCAGAAACTTGGAGACAGTAGTAGAAATTTTATACCCTATGGTATGTTTAAAAAAAATCAAATTAAAATTGTCTTTGTAAAGGGAAAAATTGTTAATTGGTGATTGTTATTAATCTGATTAATTTTTAATTTTCTAACTTCAAAGAGGGAAAAAAAAACATTGAAAAAGTAAGTTTTATGAATATTAAAATGTAATCTGTAAAAATCGTCAATAAGTATAGGTGAGGGGAATAAAAAAAGAATTTATTTAAACTTATTCTTTCAAAAGGAAGTATACAAAGAAATAGTTTTAATATGTTCAGTCTTTTTGTTGTTCATTTGTTTTCAGATATATATATATATAGAAAACAATTTTCCACGGGCAGAATTTTGGTATTTAGCATTTTTATTAAATTAATTTTGATAAAAGATGAAAGTAGAAGTTTTCTTACTGTATAATGTTTTATTTGACAGCGGCAATGGAAAGTCATGTGAAGTTGATGATTGAAGTTTTACCCAAATGGCTAACCCTCGTTGAGATAAAGAAAGGAAAGTACGTCAAGATGGATAGAAATTTGGATCTTCAAGTATTGATTGAAGAAGTGAACAATCTCTTAAAGAATAAAAGTTAGTTATATGTTTGTAGTGGTAAGCTTCAGAGTGCGTTTGTATTGATAGACTTGGTTGGGAGTGTGTTCGGATTGGTAGACTTGGGAGTGTGTTCGGATTGGTAGACTTGGGAGTGTGTTTTGAAGGATAGGCTTGAAAGTATGTTTGGAGTGGTAGACTTGTTGAGTTAGATTTGGAGTGATGATCTTGTGAGTGTCTTTTAAAGTGGAAGAGTTGGGAGTACAAAATTTAATGGAGTTGTAGACTTGGCAGTGCATTTGGAGTGGAGCAGAGGTGTAAATTGGTCAAATCTCTTTAACGTCTTCTTTGTGGAGGATTTGACCATTCATTATGAAACCTGACTGATTTAATGGCAAGAATTTATTTTCAGTTGTACTCATAAGAATCGTTCATTCTCAACAGCTATAGTAAACAATAAGTTTTCCTTTATAGTCATCTTTTATCATAGACTACTAATTTGAAAATCATTGGTAACATCATTTACTTTTACGGTGTATTGTGAAGATTTCATGCTGTTAGGTTATTGACGGTCTGGGCTTGTGTTAGTAGCATTGTTTACCAATTAGTATTGATGTCATTGTTTTAGCTTTGTTGAATTGTAATACAGAATGCAAAACTGACTCAAGTTACTTTAGGGATTTTGCACTTATTTTATCTAATTAAAAGTAATTCAATGTATTCTTTATCACACTTTCAATATAATGGGATAATTTATTTCTCGTTTAACAATGGAAGTCAAAAAGCACGCATATTTAAGAACCAAAATTAATTCTTGACAAAATGAAAAACATAGAAGTTGAAACCTCTAAAATCTCTGTCGATTGAGAAGTATCAAGCAAAATATTTGTTCATAGATATTTTTAATTCATTTGTGTTAAAAGTGATTTCATTTGTGGTAGATTTCTAGTCCTTTGTTTAATTTTAAAGTTACTCGTATTGCATCCTTGTGTTTGGGTGGAACTTTCGCTGGATGTAGTTTTTGCTCTACTTGTGTTTAGGACTGCAATGTTAACTAAAGATAATACTTGTGTGGGTCACAAAATGGATCACAGGATACTCTCGGGGTATATGCATGGATATTATATTGATTATACTGCGTTTTAAAAATGGGCATTCTAAAACTTTCAAATTTTTATGTTGTTTTGTGCTAATCTTTACTACTTTGCATGACAACTTATCTTATACAAATCCAAGTTTTAAAATTATGCTATCCATTTATGTGTAAATTCCTTTTTTTTTTTTTTTTTTTCATTTTACATTTCTGATATTTAAATTTTCATAATAACTATTCAAAGAATGTCATTTTGTGAAACATTTTGAAGTTGGGTGGACAAGCAAAAATATAACTTCACTACTTCTACCTTGTCTTGTGAGTAATATTTGTATTTTGTATTTCTTAATAATTAAACTGAATTGACTATATTTAAGTTATTAGTTTTCTTTGTTTGTTCCTCATCGTTTTCAATGATTTTTACTTATGTATGTAACAAACAGCTTTAAATAACAAGGGATTAGTGAGCTAAAAGTTGTACCCTCAGACTATTGTAATGTACAATATTTTTTGCTCTGTCTTTCTCTCTTGGAAAAGAAGTTACTTACAATAAATTCTGTAGGATTTTTTATTGGCAAGTCTAAAGCACCATTTCTAAAATTCTAATAAGTCCATTTTCAAAGTGGTGTTAATTTGAGCGAAAGAAAAGCTAGAGTCCAGGTCTCAAATCCAAAAAATCATTGTACATATTTCTATGCTTAATAAGTGTGAAAATGGAGAGGTTGGGTTAACATCTATTAGCTCATTTACTCTTTACAGCTAATGCTGTGGTGCAGCATCCAGCAACTTTAATTGACTGAAAAGTTTCTGAAAAAGTTTACTTGATCAATGAAATTATGATACTTAGCAGCAAGACAAAAATGAACTTGGCCAATATTCAAGGTCACAGATGTCAAATTTGTTAAATACATTAACTTCAGATGGTGAAGCGAAAACACGAAGAACCATATTTAGCCAAGGGGTCCCTAGGATAAAGCCCAACAAGCTCATCCCAGTTGGTTTTAAAAATACCTGTAGGGTTGTGTTATGAGATATCTTAAAACATTTTAAAGCCTTATAAAATATCAGTAATAATCAGTTTTGTTTCAAAGATATGACATAAAACACCATTGGATTACAGCACACATCATCAAAAAGGGTCAAAATTTTTCTGGAAAAAAAAATCTGGAATCATGATTGTTTGGTCTTCATTCTCGGAGCAAAGAAGTACCTTGACACATACTCGGGTCACAGGGTCCAATCCTATGATGCATGCATCATTACACTTAAGCAGATCACACAGGTTGGTTTGGTAAAAAGAACTGTCCTAGACCTACAGTCACTCAACTTAGGATGATTTACTAAAAAGACCTATAATGATATTGAGACAAAAGCTTACTACAATTCTGAATATCATTCAAATGAGGACCAATAATAATGTTATTTACAGAGCAAGTTGGGCTACATGATTTTATATCTAAATAAAAAATTCTTTTTTTTTAACTGTATGATTAGGTACAGTTAACTGGAAAAGAACCATATCATTTTGTGAACAAGAGTGCAGTGGACACAATACAGGCCACTACAAAATATAAAGATCAAGATTGGTCCTTTAATTATCGCTTTTAACATGTCTGTATCATAAATCTTTTAAAAAATCAATGAACTGTAAAATCGCCCCTTCATGCATATTAAACCATTGTAATAGTGACATTGAGTAAGTTTTATGAAAATCATATCATTAGTTTAGGAGGAGTTGCATTCACAAAGCTCTACTAAAAGCAAGCTACAGATACAAAGTTGAAAATGGCATAAATCTTACAAAAAATCGCCCCTTCATGCACATCTACCCATTGAAGTAGTGACATTGAGCGAGTTTCATGAAAATCTGATGATTAGTTTAGGAAGAGTTTCATTCACAAGGCTCCACTATGAGCAAGCTACAGCTACAATATTGAAAATGGCATAAATCTTACAAAAATCAACGAATCAAAAAATCGCCCCTTCATGCACATCTACCCATTGTAGTAGTGACATTGAGCAAGTTTCATGAAAATCTGATGATCAGTTTAGGAGGAGTTCACAAGAAATGGACATACGAACGGACAGACGGAGAAGATGACGCCAATATACGACCGACCACCTCCGGCGGTGTATAAAAATGACCAACAAATTGTTTTGGTGTATTCATGGTTTAATCAAAACCTAAATTATGTATAAAAAAAAATCCTAATTGAAACACAAAATAAAAAATGTTAACATTTATCAAAAATGTTTTCATACCCGACATGGCAACACTAGTGATATGTCTCCATTTATTCTAACTTTTATTCCTTGTTGACAACCATCTTCAAACATCCATCAGGTTTAAGTTGATTTTACTGATCAGCATTCACTCAAAAGTCTCAAAATATTCAACTGAATATGTTTAAAATATCATGATTGATTATCTGTAAAAACGTTGAAAAAGGGAGAACAATAATGATGATAAAAGGATTTCTGAACATACCTTTCTTGACACAAAAACTTTTAAAAACAAACTAATGCATCTTACATGTTTCAAGGTTTTGCTTCAACAGGATAATTACAAAATTGCAAAACACAATTATAAACACAGCCTTATTGCACTTGATAGAAGATCGAGCCACAGCTATGAAATGTTCATACATAAATAAGCTGCCAATCGTTCAATGTTTCAAAATTGTCTGGTTTGATTGGACAAAATTTGTTACAGCTCCCAAACTTCTGATTCCATAACCTGCACAACGTCTCCCAGGGAATGTCCATCCAAATTTTGAAGTTGCTGTGTGAATTTGAATCCCAAGATATGTATCCTTAGAAGACTCTTACATCAGTACTCTGTCTCGTTTTCAAGGAAACAATATTAATGAATCATTATAACATGTTTCCATCAAGCAGACCCAATTCTTTCAATCTCTTCTCACTTTTGACCTTGTTTTTCGTACTTTTTCTTCTTCTTTCGGGCTCTCTGATCCATTTGTTCCTAAAAGCTCACGGACAAACTTGAACCGAGACAAAAACAGTTTCCACACAATGAACCAACCTGTCAAATAAATGATAGCAATACTTTATTTTATTGTATACAAATAGAACACTGATATATCTACACTCGAATCCTTTTGGTTTCCTCTACCTACTACACCAAAGAAAGTCATTTTGGAGTCTTGTGCATCAAAATATTTTCAGAAACATGCTCAATAACATCTTGAATTTATACATGTCCTAATGATGTTACATAATTGTCTCAGTAGTGAAAAATGTACCATCAGTGTCAAAACAAGTCTGTATTATAGGGTAATTAAGTTATTTTTAGGTTTTTTTTGCATATGTTTCAGAAAAACAAGTCATACAATTAATAGAATCCTGCACTCATTTTGATATAGAAAGAAATTATCAATCTAGACAAATTTTAAGGAAAATGGTAGTATTCCCCAAGTGATCATCCTCAAAACTCCAAGGGTTACAATTACTTTTGCTCCATGCACCCCTGGAATATGTCATGACAAAATTAAAAGTTCCATATGTTACACCTTGTGGACAAAACAAAAAGATGACTCTGATCCTTTGATGTACATCTCGAGGTCACATAACAGTATATTGTTATGACTTTGAAGTTGAATGTTAACTTCTTTGTAATCTTCAAAAGGAGCATACCAGCCTGTTATTGGTCAGTCTTTTTCTCCTGGATCCAATCAAATTACTTTGCTTGTGCTTTCAATTGTATAATGACATGTTCCCGGGGTACATATAGCAATAGTGATTTTAACCACTTAAGTATCGAGGATGCCAAGTGATGTTTTCCCTTCTGAATATTAAAAGAAATAAAATCCTAATTAAGAAAGTATAACGCACACGGGGGAAAATATTCCCAAAATAGAGCTAATTAGGATAATTTACTTAACATATCTTCAAATCATGCAATCAGGAAAAGGAAATACCAACCTGACCTCAACATTTTCATATTTTATCCATGTAATCTACATGTATGTCACAGTTTTACCTTGTTTGAATTCTGACCAAAAAGGATGTCCATTTCTTGAAACAAACAATAAAAAAATCTCCTTTTTCATATTTGGTAGTGTTTACCAAAGTAAATAATTATACAAAGTAATAAACTAATTAAATAAAGTCCATGTTACTTGTTTAAAGGTTCGTGACATATTGAATTAATCAGCTTTACTTGAGTCACATTATATCGACAAGTATGTTTTATCCTCTATATGGAGTAGGACGAAATTAGGGTTAGTCGGAGTATGTCAATCGCAATAATAGTGAAAGTTGTATGCGGATGTTTTTGCTGTTGGTGATACGTCGACATCTATCTACTATAGAATGTACAACAACATCTTCTTACAGATAATTTATATCATTTCCTTCCCCCAGGCCATGAAAGAACATAACCTACAATAGCTTGGCCCTCCGAGCAAAGGGAGTATTCGAATATCTCATTGTTCTTTTCTAACAGGTGCGCTTTCCATAATGGTTTGAAATCAGATTTACAACCGACTGTGTCATGTGAACGACAGAACAACGAATGTAATATCTCACCTAAAGCGATAAACAGGAACACAAATAACAGTGATATAATCAGTGAAAATATAGACAGAGCTATCTCTTTCATGGTCACATCAGCTGTTGTTCCCTGCAGACAGCTAAAACGATAACAGGACCGCACTGAATAAGGATATTGTAAAATTCATTACGGAAGCGTGAAAGGATGAATCCGGATTATTTGTGGACACCCTCTTATTTTTACGCATAATTTCAAAGTAGAAGTTAAAATTTTAGAAAAAAAAACGATATTTGTATCCATTTTTTTTTCAAACTCACGGTACATGGCTCAATCATATGATTACCCCTATCACCCGAATAAAATAGTATGAGCAACTGTTAATGAGAGAAAACGCCAGTTACCTGATTATATGCTGTACTCCATGACATTCAAAGAGCACAGGTGTACTTTTACAGGGACCTGGGTTAATTTCAACGTAGTTATTTTAAAACAAAAGGTCATATGAATTTCTCTTTTGTTGTGATATCTAGATCGAAGTAACACAGGAAAAACGATATGCACTAAATTCCCACTAATGCAAGAAATGCTGTTTGATCCGAACAACAATACAACAATACCGTATTATACGGGTGTCTAGCTATCTAGCTGTGTGATACCTAAGTTGCATTTTTTGCCATGGCGATAAGAATTTTCAAGAGAGAGAGAGAGAGAGAGAGAGAGAGAGAGAGAGAGAGAGAGAGAGAGAGAGAGAGAGAGAGAGAGAGAGAGATGTCCGTTAATAAAGAGCATTGTGACCGGAATATCATGACATATTTGTATATCTTTTTATCTAGATCTGAATTCAGCTGTTTTTCCTTTGAGACTATCATAAAATGCTGCATTAAGTTTTCAGTTGATTTATATACTTTAAGTTCAATAAATATTAAGTTTTCTTATTCTCCCATCCAGTATGTCAATTTCGTTTAGGTCCGCATTTCCTAATCATGTTTCCGTTTTTGGTCTAGCGTTGTCGTGTACTTGTCTAGTATGAGGTTACTAAGTTAGACGAAATTGCCTTTGAACATGGAATATGTAGAAAGCTTGTGCATAACAACCAACATAACAAGAGATCCCAGAGAGATCTTGTCGCCCACCATGGTTTGATCTCTATATGCTCTTTGAAAGTTGGATCTTTTCCCTTTTTTCTTCTCTGTTTTCGTTCTTAATGATAAGGTTTTTGAACATTCCTTTGCAGAAATAAATCACAATCTTTACATGACAAATCAAAAATGGCTACCTGGAAGCCATTTTGTTTCGTTTGATCAGTCCCAAAAGCAAACCCGCGCAAGGATAGACCAAATGAACATACATATGAAATTTGAGAGATATTTATTCAGTTCTTCTTCAGAAATAGATAAAACAATCTTTATTAGGCAAAATACAATATGGCTGCCTGTCGACTATTTTGTTTTTTTATTAGTCCCAAACTCAACCTGACACAACAAGGGACCTAGAGAACTCTATACATGAAATTTGAGAAAGATCTATACAGTAGTTCTCAAGAAATAGCGATAACAAACTTTCACAGTCAAAATCCAAGATGGCCATCTTTCGGCCAATTTGTTTTTTCTGACCAGTCCCAAAATAACATGGACACAACAAGAGACCAGAGGGGAACCATATTAAATTTCAGAGAGATCCATCCCTTACTTTTCATTGAAAAAATCCAACATGGCTGCCTATCGGCTATTTTGTTTTTGTTTTTATCAGTCTTAAAATCAAACCGGCACATCTAGGGACAAAGGAAAACCTACAAATGCACTTTCATGCGAAACGGACGGACGGACCTAGGACACAGAGCGATTTGAATAGCCCACCATCTGATGATGTGGGATCGCCCATCTAAAATGGAAATACGAAGTGGTCTGCTCTGCATGAGTATTTCTGTACTTTATCGAGACGTCACGCTGTTACATATTAGAATATTCGCCGTAGTACAATTTTCCTTTTACAGGGATAAGGAACACTACGACAGAAAATCCTATCTTTTACGATGTCATTGAATGTATCATACCCGAACTACCCACACGTGTCATCACCTGGTGAGTGATCTCGGAATTAGAATTCCGCGTACATAACAGTAGTCTCCCTTGAAAGATGTGATCTCGAATACTGTAAATCGGTAGAAAGCGAACTTCTCAACAGTTAAAGGTATAAAAACACATTTCTTGTCACAAAGACGGACCGTTCTTTGACTGTTTTTGTTGTGTCCTAGAGTTAGACACTAAATATAATGATCGCTAAGGATAACATGTGGCGAGTCTCCCGTATGATGTTCAGTAAAGTAGCCATTAGCTACTATGATGACACCCACCTAAAAAGCATCGACACTAGATGTTCATGGGGCGATAAGCCCAGGAAACAAAACAACAAAAAGTCTGCTATTATATAAACAGATTGTCTAATTTTTCACCATACAGCTTCTATATGTTTACATCAGTAATTGAGTTTGGTGAATATTAATAATTTTGTACTGTAAAATACAGCCCTTGTTCAGCAAGCGAGTCTCCAGTCTGTCACAAGTTGCTCTTTGATAAGGGTCATGAACTGATGAGGGCGATCATTGTCGGAGGCATGACAGACGTGACTGCGCGTGCTAGACCCATGGCTCTTGGTAGAATACTGCACGTGGAACACAGCCTGCAAGTTTATAAATATTGTATACATAAGTATTCTCTATGATCACCTGAAGTCGACTGTACTTCCGGTGACGGTATATAGTATAGTGGGTTTATTGTAGAAATTGAAAGTTCAGGCCGCCTTGATGTTGCATTTCCTGTAGCAAGTACTTGGTTATAGTCAGATGCACTTCCGGCGATTGTGGCCGATGAGTCGTCATGCACACCACACACATTTAAAGAAAATACAAATGAAGAGATACATGCTATACTGTCACAGGAAGAACCACATTATAATTGCTATCATGAAATCATACTTGTTGATGATAAGACGAACACTGACCTTGTTGTTATTTATAAATGGCCCGTATTGGTCACACTCGTCATAATCCATACACTCTTCGTTGAGGGCCCAATCAAAGTAAGGTTGTAGTTCATGAATTTGGCCGACGTCATTCTTCAGTCCCACCGATAGGTCACGGTGGTGTGCCTCTTAAAAAATGAAATTAGAATGAGGAAACATAACGGCTGGTGAAAAGACGGATAGGAAGGGGACATGACAACAAGGAGATTAGATGGAAAGGATAGGGACATGACAGCAAGGGGATTCGATGTGAAGGATGAGTACATGACGGCAGGTAAGGAGATGAGAATCCGACGGCTGGTGATGTGATGGGAACATGACGGCTGGTGATGAGATGGGAACATGACGGCTGGTGATGAGATGGGAGCATGACGGCTGGTGATGAGATGGGAGCATGATGGCTGTTGATGAGATGGGAATAAGACAGCTGGTGATGATATGGGAACAAGATGGCTGGTGATGAGATGGGAACATGACGGCTGGTAATGTGATGGGAACATGACGGCTGGTGATGAGATGGGATCATGACGGCGGGTGATGAGATGGGAACAAGACGGCTGGTGACGAGATGGGAACAAGACGGCTGGTGATGAGATGGGATCATGACGGCTGGTGATGAGATGGGAACAAGACGGCTGGTGATGAGATGGGAATAAGACGGCTGGTGATGAGATGGGAATAAGACAGCTGGTGATGAGATGGGAACAAGACGGCGGGTGATAAGACGGGAACATGACGGCTGGTGATGAGATGGGAACAAGACGGCGGGTGATAAGATGGGAACATGATGGTGGGTGATGAGATGGGAACAAGACGGTGGGTGATGAGATGAGAACAAGACGGCTGGTGATGAGATAGGAATAAGACAGCTGGTGATGAGATGGGAATAAGACAGCTGGTGATGAGATGGGAATAAGACAGCTGGTGATGAGATGGGAATATGACAAGAACCATTTTACCTCTTGCAATGAACTTATTGTAGTCGAGTTGGTCGTCTGCGTCTATATGTGAAGAGAACCCCTGTTTAGATCTAGACAGTGTGTACATGTCAACATTGTCTGGCTCTACCCCGTCACACCCCTTCCGGACAGCCAGGTCCAGACGTTTCTTCATTATATTTCGGACACTGGACGAACGAATGTCCAGCCATTTTTCGTTCCATCCATCCAGTTCGTGTCCAACAACAGATGACGGGAAGTCATGATGATCCGGTCTCCAGGCCTCGTAGGAACCGGCCGAGAAGTAGCAGATCACTTTTCGGCCGTGGCTGTCAACGATAACAGGAAAATACGTTTAGTTGGTTGAGCTTGGAATATAACTGATTGATAAAAGCGACACGATTAATTGTGGTGATAATATAAAAAAAGTTACTGCATTTCACGCAATGACTATTTTATGGTATGCATTCCCAAGCACTGTAAAGAGTGAAATATGACAAGAAGAAAAGTACACCATATTTTTTATGATTTCTGAAAAGCAGCGGAAGGGAGGTAATTCAACTCAAAATATTTCTCTAGCTCGTTCGCTTTCCTTCGCACATGATTTACATTATGTCTTATCATAGACAACCGATGTCGAAATAAATGGCACTGCGAGATACTCCACATCCTGTATGTCATATATCTGATATATGAGGTCCCGGATGTCGCTGGTGCCCATATCAATCTTAGATCTGAAGTTATGTTGGTGCATGGAAACACTGGAGGTTCGAGATATCGTTGGTGTCCGTGTCAAACTCGAAGCTCGAGATATAGTTGACGTTTCATGTTAAACTGGTGCTTCGAGATATTGTTGATCTTTTCAGTGGTTTGAGATATCCTTGGTGCTAATGTCAAACTTGTAGTTCGAGATATATGGGGGTGTTTAATAATCAAAACTTGAAGTTCGAAATATTGTTTCATTCGAGTTCGAGATATACCGTGGTGTTTCATGTTTAACTTGTGCTTCGAGATTACGCCGAAGATAATAAATGTCCAACTTTTAGTTCGAGATATCGGGGATTTTAATTCAATATTGAAATTCGAGATATTGTTTCAATTCAAACCTAAGTTCAGGATATTGTTGTGATTAACTCAAACTTGAAATTCGAGATATTGGCAGTATTCATGTCAAACTTACTTTTTAAGGTCCTGAATATCGCTGGTGGTCGTATCAAACAGGTCGATATCATACATATCTACATTATAGGTCTTCACGAGGTGACCATCGTCATTCTCGAGCTGCCATTGCCAAGTAGTGTGCTGGGGAGGTTTCCACCACGCGGAGGCTGTTGCCAAGACTCCGGCCAAACTGACCAATAAACCCAAAACCTTGTTCATAACTACACCAGTCGATTGGAAAACTGTGATAGGTCAGCTATCAAAATGTATGTCTCCTTATATGCCGAGCCTAATCATTCAACCACAGGCGCTCGTTTTATAGAACCTCAAAACATTTCCAAATAAGGTCATTCGTCCAGGATAAGCGATAAGGTCATGTACGAATCCCTGTGAAATGAACATCAGATTTATGTTACAGATAAGCAAGCGATAAGAATGTCTGACCGCAGTGTGGTTTTAAGTTTGTAATTTGTCGTGATTATGTTAGTATATCTTAATATGTCATGATAATTCAACCACGTTTTGAGTGTGTGAGAGGTCATTCGGGTCCAATGATGTAGTGAAAGGGTAAGGGGATTTGAGCGTGTAGTGAAGGGGAATTCTGTGCGCATAACGGACGAAGATGGATTTGGTAACGTCACGTGTTGGGCAGTAGGTGCCAATTCCCTGCTGAATTAGCACCTACTGTCGAAGACGTGACGTTGCCAAACGTATGTTCGTCCGTCCAAATCGTCACCTGTGTCAAAGATGTCATATTATAACTAGCGCACCTGTTTTCAGGGGAATTATGTGCGCATAACGGACGAACATGGATTTGGTAACATCACGTGTTGGGCAGTAGGTGCTAATTCAGGAGGGAATTATCGCCTACTGCCAAACACGTGACGTTACAAAACGCATGTTTGTGCTTCCAAAACGTCACCTGTGTCAAGTATGTCATAACTAGTGCATCTGTTTTCATTATCGAACCTTGGTTTATTTTTACTTGAATGACGTTTGAGATCTATATTGAACGACCACTAGACTCTATCAGGTCTGAACTATTCACCTAACTTTTGTCAACTCGAAATATGTGTACTATAGCAATACTACAAATGGAGGATTTTACTTTACTTGGGTTAAAGGAATCAATGTTTAACATGTGTATATTATATCTCAAATTTTACCATTTGCTCTTCTACAAAAACATATGTATTATTATTTTTTAAACATTTTCAAATGTCCGAGCAATGTGGGTGTAGAGCTATTAGTATAAACGGTACCGTTGAACTGAAAATTCAATACAACGAATAAACCCAAGGAAATATGAACTGTGAAAAACTGAGAGTATGGAATAGATTTAAATCAAATAGCGCTAGATTGGCCAAGAAAGATTCACTCACTCAGTCTCAAATATTGTTTACTGAATTATTAGACAGTTTCCTTACTTCAAAGGTGAACATTGAAGGAGACTTTCACCCCCCCCCCCCCCCTCTTTTATTTGTTTTATTTCATTTTAATTTATTCTCATTTCATCTCTACCTTAATTTATCTCACATTAAAAATTATTTATTTTATCTGTAGATTCATATCATATTGTTTAAATATTTAAGTATTGTACATAATTTTCGAGAGAGGACTTGATATAAGTTGTGTCCGATCCCCATTGTGTGTATTTGATGGAATAAAAATAACAATTTTAAAAGCAAGTCTATGTGCTTTGCAACTGAGAAGGTTTGCCTCGACTGCTGTCAACATCTTACAGGTAACTCTGTCAATCCTTTATAGATACAGGACACGATGTACAGGTAACTCTGTCAGACCTTTATAGATACAGGACACGATGTACAGGTAACTCTGTCAGACCTTTATAGATACAGGACACGATGTACAGGTAACTCTGTCAAACCTTTATAGATACAGGACACGATATACAGGTAACTCTGTCGATCCTTTATAGATACAGGACATGATGTACTGGTAACTCTGTCAGACCTTTATAGATACAGGACAGGATGTACAGGTAACTGTCGATCCTTTATAGATACAGGACATGATGTACTGGTAACTAAAAATGACTAATGGATAAATAAATAAATAAATAAATATCCATAGATCAGTGTCACCTATCGGACACATTAGGTAAGGTGTCAAAAATCTTTATCCAGATATAGGATAGATTTGTAAAAACAAAAAACAAAAAAGAAATAAAAACAACAACAACAAACAAAACAAAAATTAAAACTACATGTTCTATGTTTGCCTTAATAGTTCTTGAGCTCAATATATGGACATGGAGCTTTAGATATATTACACAGTGGTCCCCTTTACGCTATACTAAAAATGAGACACCTTGAACTATTTTATTTGTCTTTTCTTCGCGAGTAGCAATATCTTTTGTTGAATAACATGCTTATGTGGATGGTAAGTAAAGAAATAATTAGATATAGACTTGTGGTACTTACTTTGTTGGTAAACAAGTAAAAGCCTTTTTTCTTTGAAAAAAAATGGGTTTGTAATGAAAGTTGCTAATGATTAAAGTGAACATATTATTAATTTAAGTTACAAACTGCGTAGACACAATGTTTGGCAACAAAGACACGCGGTATGGCATGACTTATCAATATGATATTATTCGTGTCACCTTGTTGACAGTTATTATATGACTAATTAAACTTTTATTATAATCAGATGTCCTTTTCATCGTCTATAGATAGAGAATAAATTCTTCGTTGAAATAAGATATTGGACTCATCGACAAAAGCAATACTTTCGGTTTTACGTGCCAATTTCCAACAGAATTAAAACCAAATTAGACTACTAATTTTCCAGTCTTAAAACACTTCTTCTTTTATCGGCAAAATCGCTCTTTTTACTAGTGTAGCTTATGAAACCTCTAGAATGTGAGATATGTAATGTTGTCGGACATTTATCTTCTGTCTACATACAGGAAATCATTATAAAGTACAGGTTTCTTCTATTATTTAGACAAAAAGGATACACATTGGAAGTCCCTAGGGTGAAAAACACCTCGCACTGACAGAATTCTTTCCGGTATTAGGCCGCCTGCATTTGGAACTTCCTGATAAATGACCTACGGAAGATTGGAAATTCGGGAGTTTCATAGACAGCTCCAGATGTGGAATTATTATCCTATAGGCATATATGCATGTATGCTTAGTTAATTTGGTAAAGTGCTGAAATTACAGTTCACATCTTATATGTAATGCAGTTCTCATGATTTCATGTGTGTGTGTGAGGGTGTGTGTGTGTGTGTGTGTGTGTGTGTGTGTGCGTGCGTGTGTGTGTGTGTGTGTGTGTGCGCGCGTTTTTTTTTTAGCTGAATAAAGTTTTGTATTTTGTATCTTGTAAGCACGGGCTTGTATAGACTAGCCCTATATCCAAGTCCGTGCTGTAAGGAAGATGTCGGCTTAGTTATAAAACCAGTCATTTCAACTTTCAAGTTAATGATATTAATGTGATTTTATTTCAATTGAAGTAAAATTATCGGTGATTTCATGAAAAAAAATTAGTAGGCTTATATCAGTCTTAGTGAACTCTTATTTTCGGTGTGGGGTGTGGCAGTGCCCGCTAAGCTTAATCAACAAGCATAGGCGCATTAGTTTTAAAAAAAATGCGTATTTGTCATCTCCAGAATAGTCTTCAGTCATGAAATTTCTTTCCCCCAAAATTTATCTTTATTACAAAGCATTGAAAATAGCGCGGAAAATCACCATGATCGTTCGTACATTTCCGGGAATCAACGGAAAACGCCGAATAGAGAATTCTGGGTAATTAGGTCGTAGAAGCAAAACAGAGGATTTGCGGAAAAGAAAGCGATCGTACAAATACGGATAATTAGTGTAATTTAGTGACAACTTGTTGTTTTAGGTTCGTTTAGAACCTTTGTTTATCTCCTAATCAGTGACGCCAGATTGGCAACTCGGTAGATCGCCGCTAATAGTGTTCACAAGATCACAGGGAAGTTACCGTTTATTTTTGACATTGACATTCTTCGTTGGAAAATACCAACAAATGGAGTACGAGGAGATTGGGAGAGAAGAAATGCCATTTGAATCACACCATCAAATAAATCAAGAAAGAAGCAGAAGAAAACCTAGAAAACCGTGTTCCTTGAATTATTTTAGTAACATTTCGTGTGTTTATAAGTCTTTTCCGAACAGATTTTCTAAGACGATTATTTGTTGAGAAGTCATCCAAGCGTGTTATTTGTGTGGTGATTTCGTGATTGTAAACAACTGGACTTTCTAAAATTTCCGTCTATATTACTTATTTTGGCGTTCATCATGAAACTACTGGAAAATTCACTGTTTGAACAGATCAACTCTAACTTGTCCATAGAGCTGGAAACATCGAAAATTGAAGGAAGGTAAAAACAAACAGCTGATAATCACTGTCAATTGTGTCAGTCAATTATGTAATGACACCTGCCATTAGCCGCTACCGCCTTCTCCTCTCCTCCTACCCACACACCTTCCATTTCTCTTTCCCTTACCCTCCCCCACAGAAAGCTGGTGAATGAATTGCACAAAATTGTGAAATAAAGCCTGTTTGTTTTAATTAAATCAAAATTGTGTTGGTAGAAGGTTAGCCCTATATATGATTTACACATAATATTTATCACATATTTAAGTATTCAAATAACAACACATTTTTGAAAGTTCAAAACTATATAAGATAAGAAAATGTGTGTTGTATAGTTTTAAATGTTTATTCTACAAGCTAGCATGTGTTATCTTGAATTATGTACAAGTTATATCCTTTGTCTGAAAGTATTATTGATAATATTGTAAGCGTAATACTTCACCTGCTATCATTGGGTGTTCACACAGGGAAATAGATTTGGGTAAATTTCCTTGTGCAGGGGTGACCCTTTTATACATAAATTCACCGTATTACAGTATGTCAATTTAACAAATATATATTTAAGTATTTCATACATTTTTGATATGTATCATATATAAATGAGTCACAAATGCTGACACATACCTGTGTAATACATATATATATACCAGCTGGAACTATTTTATGATTTAATGAGTTTGAGATCTGAAGTATTAACTTATTTATACAGTAAATTATGATATTGATCGTTTTTATTTGCTTCTGATAATGTTTTGTGTCGCTGCAGGCTGGAGAGTAAGTTCTGCATTTTCTTTATTTTCGTTTACCCTTAAAAAAGTTTTTTATCAATGCAGACTGGAGAGCTATTCCTGTAAGATGGCGGGAAATGACAAGCGCCTGTACAATAAAATGTTGTCAGCTGAGGGCGGTGTGAGCCCCATGGACCTGCAAGCCTTGTCTCCCCCACAGAGCACCCTGTCCCACAGTCCCAGCAAGTATGTTTCATCAAAATATTGTGGAATGTCATTTTATTCTGTTACAGAAAGTAGGTAGATGTTTAATGAAGGTTTGGGTGGTTACAGATATATGTGAATGTATTTCTAAATTAGGTCATGATTAGTAATAGGTTCATTTAGCAATATACAAGATATAAAGGTTAAATTCGGAACAAGTTCCTAGCTTTCTGACAAGTCTACAAAAAATATGTACATGTTATATTCTATAATATGGCTAGAGGGCAAACCCAGAATTACATCAATGTCAGGGGTTGACCTAATTAGTAGTTGTGTCAGTTGTTGGTGGTTCTAATCAACCCCTAAATGGATGAGCATGTACAAGTGTATATACATCGAATTGGAATGTTTGTAACGGTTCATTGAGTAAAGGCCATTTCTGACACATGTTGTTGAATTTGTACACTCAGAAATAGAAGGTTTGCCCTCAGGTAATAGAGTGAAGATTAGTTATAGCACCAGTAACTGAATTTGTATACCCAGAAATAGAACATTTCCTTCAGTGTACTGGCGATATAATAAAATTATATGACACTGCATTGTAACTGAATTTGTACACCCAGAAATAGAACATTTCCTTCAGTGTACTGGCGATATAATAAAATTATATGACACTGCATTGTAACTGAATTTGTATACCCAGAAATAGAACATTTCCTTCAGTGTACTGGCGATATAATAAAATTATATGACACTGCATTGTAACTGAATTTGTATACCCAGAAATAGAACATTTCCTTCAGTGTACTGGCGATATAATAAAATTATATGACACTGCATTGTAACTGAATTTGTATACCCAGAAATAGAACATTTCCTTCAGTGTGCTGGCGATATAATAAAATTATATGACACTGCATTGTAACTGAATTTGTATACCCAGAAATAGAACATTTCCTTCAGTGTACTGGCGATATAATAAAATTATATGACACTGCATTGTAACTGAATTTGTATACCCAGAAATAGAACATTTCCTTCAGTGTGCTGGCGATATAATAAAATTATATGACACTGCATTGTAACTGAATTTGTATACCCAGAAATAGAACATTTCCTTCAGTGTACTGGCGATATAATAAAATTATATGACACTGCATTGTAACTGAATTTGTATACCCAGAAATAGAACATTTCCTTCAGTGTACTGGTGATATAATTAAACAATATGACACTTCATTGTTACTGAACTAGTACACTCAGAAATAGAATGTTTGTCTTTGTATTGGCTTGCACAGGGGGTTGAATAAAACTGTATGGCACTTAATTGTTAATGACTTTGTAAACCCAGAAATAAAATGTATCAATTGCCCGCAAGAGAGAGTATAAGCCATATGTGGTAACTGAATTCATATGTATTATTACCACAGAAGTGATTATGAGCGAATAAATCTGTTTCCTACAGACAGTACAGCAGGAGCCAAGGAAGTGATGGAGAGGGGTACCTATGTGATACTATATCTACCAAAACCCTCTTCTACCTCATTTCCACACTCAATGCCTCCTTCAACCCAGACTATGATTTTAGTGATGCAAAGAGTGAGGAATTCAGCAAAGAACCAAGCATACAGGTAAAATTGAAATATTGTTACCATCACTAAAATGAAAAAAAAAAATTGGTGCTGGGGGGGAGGGGATCCAATGGTATTTCAAGATATATTGTCAGATTGTTCAAGTCCTGTTCCATTTTGATTTATATGAAATTTTTTTTTATTTTCTGTAGTGGGTGCTTGGTACAATAAATACACAGATGCATGCAGCAGCCGGAGACCGATTTGACCCTCTTACCCAAAAGATGTGGTCAGCAGTAGATGCTGAAATTGGATTGCAGGAATGTGACATATTCAGGTAACTGCATATCAGTAGGGACCTGTGGTTTAATGAGCTTCATAGATTGCTAACATTGCCCTTTTTTCCACCACCTTTCCTTACTGTAATTTTATTCCTAGAAGTTTTTCTTTTTCCATACCTTTAATTACAAGGAAAATATAAAATACAACAATATTGTTTTTGAACATGTAACTCTTGATTTATTTACTTTATATTTGATAAAAATTTTGAACCACACAAAAACTTTCATGAACATTAGTGGACAGAGTTACTTCCCTTGGACTATTAATAAGCATGTTCTGACTTGTGTTTTCAGCTACAATCCTGATCTGGCCTCAGATCCTTATGGAGAGGAGGGATGCATCTGGTCCTTCAATTACTTCTTCTACAATAAGAAACTCAAGAGAATTGTGTTTTTCACTTGCCGCTCGTCCAGGTTTGTACTTCCATATCGTATCATATGACCTTGCACCATTTGTAAAATTGGTTGTGTCATTCATTTCTAAAATTTGAATAATTGGTTCATGGTGGTTTCATAAACTTATTGTAATATGTGCAGTGGTTTCAGATTTTAATGTTGTCATTTCTGCACTTAATTTTAACTAATAACTCATGGTATTTCCATTGCTAAACTTGCATAATTTTCTAGGGCTTTTAACTCTGGTATGCATTATGATCTACACTTTGATTCAATTCTTTTCAATAAAAGACACTTGCTGTTGAAATATTTAATGCTAACTGTAAAAAAAAAGAACTACGATGCAAAAATGTGTCAAAACAAGATACCAATGTGGAGTGTATTTGAAAATTTACTTATTAATAGCCAAAAAGTTTGAAAAAAGTAGAAAGTTTATATCCAACAAGTTTGAAAAAAGGAGAAAGTGTACATATTTTTCTGTTTTGAATGGCTAGACTAAATGATAAATTGTATAGAAATAGCAAAGAGGTATGGAAAACTGAATCATAGTGCAAATATCACGTAACATATCTAATAATGATGAATCATTTCACCCGAAATTATTTCATGAGATAATCAGCTGTGAAAAAGCTTGTTGGCTTTATCATGTAAGTCTCAAAACATGATCTTTGGGTGTTTAATCATTTCTCAAGTGAACATTTAACAAAAATGTCACAAATTTCTATTTTGTATACATAAAAAAAATAATTTAAGAAATGGTACTGTATGATATTAAACTTTCCAAAAAAAAAGTACCAAACTGTTTAAGGATGTGTTGTTTGTAATATTACAAAATCCAGGCTGAATGAATTGAATTCATTCAGTAAAATATCCAAAAGATGTCTTGTTAGAATTGTTCACTGAAGAAAATGTTTTGTTTATCATGACTGCTAGTGTCTGTGTATGACTTACGTGTGCTGTGACATGCTATCACCATCATTTGCTGTTGTTTGTGTATTGTAGTGTGTCAGCCCAGTCAGATTCAGGTATTGGCAACGACAGTTTATTCGAGAACTCTGGGATGGAATTTGGGGATCAGTAAGTGCTGGAATCATGATACTCTCTCATTGTCAAATTTACAATTAATTAATTAACAATTAATTATGTTAAGAATTTGGTCAGATGTTTTTATTTCAGTGTTACCAAGTTTCTCTTTCTGTTGTATACTTGTCCCTGTGATAAATTCAGTCTACACAGCAAAGTTTATTTTATTTCCTATGGGGTTCATGATTTTTCTAATGTTTTCTGAAATGAAAGCAAAGGATGCTGATTAATTTTGCCTCTCAGGGAATTAAATTGGAATCAGGATTTGAAGTTTTAGAATTGTCAAATGCTGTAGATTTGATCAGTTTTAAACAGAAAACAGTCTCAACAATGAGAATTGTAACATAATGATGTAATTTCAATATATCACAAAGCGACAACACTTAAACATTTATTTTATTTTTCTGAGTCAGCTCTTTGAAAGTCTCATTAAGTTTAGGATAAGAAACAAATCAGTGATAAAATATAGCATTTCTTACCTCTCAGTATGCAGTAATATGACTGTGAAGAATTTTTTTGACTGTTAACAATAATCCTTATTTTTTTCAGAGAATTTGATGACATGGAGTAATAATCTGTTCCTGACTGAAAGCTTCAACAGATCCCCAGAATCACAGGAATAGCGATTTGTGTGTGAACAAGCCTTTTTATAGATATACCATTTTTTGAAGAGTGAACACTAACCAATTTTACTTACAATAGAAACTGGAACCTGCATGTAAACTTCAAATGTTCAAAATCGTAACACTTTAAGCGAATTTAGAATTTTCAGTTCATTTTTGGAAGGTTCTGTTAAGATTTGTTCAAGAAATACCAACTGTCATGATTACCAGCTGTGTACATTTTATGCAAAACATTTGAAGAAAGGTCATGTTAACCACCAATATAATTTAATTCTTTATGTATTTTTTATGTTTCATTACTAGTAAAATGATGGAGGAAGACCTTCATTCTTGAACAAAAGGGATGAAACAAATAGTATGTACTGAAATCATCTTTCAATCGAAATCCGCTTTGTACAGATCAGAGATTTTTTATAATTTTGTACAGGTGTATTAAATTCAGCATTGCATTGGTTCAGGGTGTACATATTTTTTTTTAACATTTATCCACATTCCTTGTCACTCTGGATTTGTTTTCAATGGTTCACCACAACTTCCTGTCTAATGGATAAGATACATGCTTTCTCTCTGGTCTCATTTCTCGCTCTCCCTTTCTTCTTTTCTTTTTCATTCTGTCTTTATCCATAACTTAACATTCAGACATGAATGCTGATTCTCTGAGAAGAGTCTTGATTTGATTTTTGTAAAAAAAAAATCACAAGGGTGGTCTAGATATATTGAAGAGATGCTTTATGACTGATGTTGAAGAAAGTTAGTATTGTGTCTTTCGATCAATATCAATATGATATGATAAACTTAGAGATGCTGTCCCTGCAAAAAAGTTTAAGTGATACTTTAAATTTAAAGATGCTGAAATAGTTAATATTACATCACTTTAAAACTTTTAAAGTGACCTAAAAAAAAATTGAAATTATGTCTCTTAAAAATCATGAAGAAAACTTATAGTGTTATGTAGTTAACTAATTGTATTGTAAAGCTGGTAATTTCACCGATTTCCTTTAAAAACGATCAAATTAATTCTATCAATTTAAAAATCTGGATGTTAAAGAACATCTAATACAAATATGCCATTATTTTAACAGAATTTTTGCAATTATGTTAATGTACCACGAAATGTGAAAATTTCAACCCCATGAATATATCCATCTTTATACTGTGTTATGTATTATGATATGATTGTAATGTTGCAATAAATTCGGCCAGTGCCGTCTTAGATTAGAAAAGTTAGTCATTATATTCATACCACTATTAAAGTGGAAAAGAAGTGGAGACTCGTAGATTATTTGATGTCATTAGGACAAGATGTTATTGATTGTTAATACCATTTCAGATTCTGAAATAAAAAATTGACGGAATGAAAATATCCAATATGTGTTACATATATCATGTACTGATATCTAAAAACTTGATAATAATATTCACGTATGTTCAAAATATTGCTTTTTCATTTTTGTTGTATTTTATTGCCATTATTAGTTAAATGTAGTATGTTTGGTTTATTTTGTGGTTATATTATATTTTTTGTAGTCTTGTTGAAAAGTTTATTATCTCAATTTTTGTACATCTTGGATATCGTTTTGACCTCGATATGAATGTATGTTACATATTTAAATAGAAGTGTTTTTGAGATTAATAGTGATACATGGCTGTTTGTTGATCTCAGAATTTCCATTTTGCTTGTCAAGATTTTTACATGTACAGAAAGGGAAGATCTCAAATGATTTGAGAGGATCTCCAGAGAAGTGTTATGTTTGTATATAGTAGTACTGTACCAACTTTGTTTAAACATCTCGAGAGATACTAATTCCTGTAAGTACAAAAACATATTGGAAGTGTTTCCAATTTTTATTTTCTCCGGGGATATGGTTAAGGAATTTTCCAGTGAAGCTCCTTGTACAGGAGTTTTCATAATACTGTGACAATATAATGAAGGAGAAAAGTGATATCCGAGGCCCTGTGAGATGACGAAGTGTTGTATCTACACACAGCCAGTTGGAACCAACAGTGATGGCGAGTCATACACCAATGAAATTGGATATGATTTACTGGACTGCTCACTGTGGATCTGCACTAAAGGACAAGAAATGGAGAAGAATTGGAAACTGTTGCGTTACCTGACAAAGTATAGAGAAAGTGTTGTCAACACAATGTGATAATTTATGGTGACAATCTAATGGGATTGCTGACTGGTGGAAATGTAAGAAAAAGAAATGTTTATGGAGCTGAATTCAGAGGTCATTGTTTGCTTTTTTTTTTCCCCCATTTAAATATATTTTTTTTCTTTGTAATATCAATGCATATGATTCAAGAAATATGTCTGATGTTTCCGACATAAAATTAATGGTTTAAACTGAAGTCACTGTCAGTAATTTTCAAGACATGGAATCAAATATGATGAAAACATTTTGACGTCTTACAAAGTAACTTAAGTAGAGTAGTTTTAGTTAGATAATGATTTAACGTTATTGTATTTGTTCAGTGTTTGATGCATTGAAAACTATACAGGACATAGGTTTCTGTATGTAATTGATAAATAATACATCAAGTTTGCTACGATTAAATAAAGTTTTCAAAATATTTTTAATGTTTGAGGAGTTAACCACTTACCAGCAAATTCATGTTTTTATACTCAATGCTACATGAAGGGGAAAGTAGATATTGCATTTTTTTTTTTTTTCATTTCTCTGCGACAGCAGCAGAGGTCTTTTACCACTGTGGCTATATTTTCATATAAACCATTATCGTACATCTGTATAGTATCATAACGTCGTCCTGTGTTATTAGAACAGTTAAGTTTTGTTATGGCTAGTAACTTGTGGCATGTTTCATATTTCCAAATGTATTAGTTTGTTTTTATCTTGTGACAGATAGAAACTGAAAAAATAAAATCGTTTTATTTTGTATTTTTCAAGTAATGCATTTTGTTATTTGTCATTTTAATGATTTACAAGAAATTGGTCGATACACTTTGCATGATATGTATACTAGACTCTTATGTCCAGCAACAGACTTTTGAGGGAACAGATATGAAGATAATGCTGAATATTATGAAAAAAGGGCAATAACTCCTGTAACAAAATAAGATCCGATTAATAATTATGCAGTTAATAACCAATCAGAGTTAATTAATAATATTTTATATAATTGATGATATTTAGTGCAGAGCTATCAAACCGTTTATCGGTCAAGGAATTAGATCACAGGCACTCGAGGCCAGGATATTATTTTTTAAACATTGATTTTTGTTTTAGCACTCATGACTGACGTTATTTAAACGAAATATCAGCAGAATTCAAGTTTATATGCCGGTTGACAAATCCGAGGTCCACGGTCATTAAAAATACAAATGACCGTGGACCTCGGATTTGTCAACCGGCACATAAACTTGAATTCTGCTGATATTTCGTTTAAATAACGTCAGTTATGAGTGCTAAAACAAAAATCAATGTTTAAAAAATAATATCCTGGCCTCGAGTGCCTGTGAATTAGATAAGTACATAGTCTTAGAGATAATATC